TGTAACCATTGTAGATATAATTGTTTTTAATCATATGATTCACGACATGTATAATTTACTCAAGCAGTTGAATGTCATAATGTACATTACAGGCAGTCTACTTAGTGCTGCTCATGTGTTTATTATAATAATGTTTCTAATTAGAGATGCATTTTGTACCGAAAATGATTTTCTCACCTCCAAATCTCCTCATCTTCAAATTAATATTATAATAATATTAACGTAACTTAACTATAACTGTTCAAATAAGAAGAGATTGGAAGAAAGAGAGATTTGGAAGGAAACTAATCCTGCTTCATTTTACACAGTTGGTAGCTTCAAGCATCGGTTAACGAATATAATTTAAAGAGTAATGTTAGAGAGATTCAATTTGTAAATTAAATTTTGTAAACTAAATGACATGAAAGTTAGTGATTGGATTATTACTTAATCGTTGATAAACGTGCTTATTTTTTATTTGTGACACCTCATTTAGTTTACAAACTTAGTCTCCCTAGCGTTACTCTAATTTAAATAAATGGATATGGTTGAAATCGTTGCATGCACACCACAAAAATGACGTTTTGGAATTCAACGTGTTCTTTGTAACATCCCACATCGTCCAGGAGAGTGGATCATGTAAGCCTTATATGTATATTCTCATCTCTACCTAACATTAGGCTTTTTGGGAGCTCACTGGCTTCGGGTTCCATCGAAACTCCGAAGTTAAGTGAGTAGAGCGCGAGAGTAATCCCAGGATGGGTGACCTACTGGGAAGTTCTCGTGTGAGTTTCCAAAAACAAAATCGTGAGGGTGTGGTCGGGGCCCAGGGCGGGACGTGACATTCTTAATTTTTTTTTTCATTTATCTTTCAGTCTCGATTAATTATTCGCTTCTTTGTTTCAAAACCAAATATGAACGCTTTCCACAATTCCCCTCCAGCATGTTTTGGGCTCCATTATTTGACACAGGGATAAAGCTTGACTTAGATCAGCTGAGCTTGTAATTATCTTCTAAATAGGTGAATGGTTATTTCATAATTTAGAATAAGTCAAATAAACTAACTTTTAACCATGGTGGGGTGGCTTAGTGGTTGAGGATAAATTTCAAGCATGTATTTCACATGGTTTTATTCCTAAAAACAAAACCGTGAGGGTGTGGTAGGGGCCCAGGCCAGGATGTGACATTCTTAATTTTTTTTTTCATTTATCTTTCAGTCTCGATTAATTATTCGCTTCTTTGTTTCAAAACCAAATATGAACGCTTTCCACAATTCCCCTCCAGCATGTTTTGGGCTCCATTATTTGACACAGGGATAAAGCTTGACTTAGATCAGCTGAGCTTGTAATTATCTTCTAAATAGGTTAATGGTTATTTCATAATTTAGAATAAGTCAAATAAACTAACTTTTAACCATGGTGGGGTGCCCTAGTGGTTGAGGATAAATTTCAAGCATGTATTTTACATGGTTTAATTCATGGCACTGGTGAATCGCACGATGGTAGTCATGAAGAGCTGAAATGCCTTTGTGAGTGTATCCAGCCTCCGAAAGAGTGGATTGCCGTGACAAAGCCACTCGCTAATCTTCAAAAAAAAAAAAAAAAATTGAACTAACTTTTCTCCCCAACTTAAATCAATACCACGTGTTAAAATTTCAAAATTCTCTACAATCTCATAATTCTTAAATACAAACTCAATTATTTTGTTATTTTTCATAAGAAAGTATTTATAATAATAGTACGGGGAAGCAATACTAGAAAATAGATCAAACAAACCTTAGTCCACAAGGACTAGGGGAAACCTAGACCTTTAATAAAATAACATAAAACAAAACCTCTAAGTAAATATAAACTTTAATTTTTTTATATTTTCCAACACCCGTCTCAAACTCAAGATCATGAATTTGCCAGAAGAAAAACAAATATAACTTGAAACTTTGTAAATTCAGCAACATGCACTAGATATACGTATCACATAGTCAAGTACATCGTTTATAAAGACGATATTCTATTAGGTAGATATCTATACAATTATAGTCTCAATTATGTAAAAGATGTGATTCATCAATATGATTTCAAGACGAGGACCTAATTTACAAGGGATTTTTTGGGTACCCGAAGTTTTAGAACTCCAGGTGTTTTAACAGGTACTTCGGAGCATCTAAGAATTTTTTAATTTACAAATTAATATTAGAGCATCTCTAATGAACTTTTTAAATGAGCTCTTAACTAAAATTTAGAGAGGAATTTTTAGCCAAATTAACTCCAATCATGCTCTCTATCTACATTCTAAGATAGAGATTCATCTGGGAGGTCCTAGATATAGGGAGGGAGAAATGAGCTCTTAGTGGCGCTCTACAATTCTTGCTAATTGTTTTAAATAAATAATTAATTCCTACTAACTATTTTTTTTCTTTAAAAAGGAGGCCAGCTGGTATCTTCGTCACGACAACCCATCTTTCCTCAGGACAGTCTATTTCCAAAAAGACTCATAGGGGCATTTCCTATTAGCTATATTGACTCATAGCCATTACTACTCTCTAAAGTCGGGAGTATGATTGGAAAATAACTTTTTTAGAGAGCCCATAGAATAACTTCTTGATAATTTTAGCTAAAATTTTTCTATAGAATACAGAGCATTATTGGAAATAATTTTATGTCTTCAACGAGTTAAAGCCGTAATGATCGAATTATGATTAATGACATACATGTAATTCTTATATACAATATTATATAATTACACTAAAACTGAGGAGCAAAAACTCACCATTGATAAAATTTGAACCTAAAACTTCTAACTTACAAGTTGCATGATATTTTTTTTTGAACAAATGATATTATCTACACTAAAAGGGAGGGGTAGACTTAGCCTCATAATGGGCTAACAATAATGTGATTTAAATTCGCCTAACGAAAATCGAACCTAACACCTCTCACTTACAAGTGAAGGGGAATACCACTAAACAGTTATATTAAGTAGTAGCTGCATAACATGTTTAATTTAAAGAAACCTCAAAATGAGGTTTTCGGTAATTGCATGAGTTCACATGTCTGTTTAAGAAAATGGAGCGTACTAGGATTTTTTCCTCTCCTCTTTCCATCCCCTTCCATCATCTCCTTTCACATTCTCTATTTTGTTTTTCTCTTTCTATAAAAAATTAATATAAAATATTAACGTGATTTAACTGTGACTGTTCAAATAGGAGAGGAAGAAAGGAAAAGGAAAAAAAGAGGATGTAGAATCATACTCCAAATGGAGCAGCCTCACTTTCCACCACACAACACATAAAATGTGACCCACAGATCATCCGTGGAACAGCTCAATTAGATTTGGTCCCTTAAACCATTCACATATATATATGTTTCCAAAAAAAAAAAAAAAAAAAAGCAAACATATATATATCTAATCGAATTTCTCACCATGTGTTGGTCAATTCTCCATATTTAACCATTCTTTTCGAGAAACTACTTAAATTTGAGAATTTTAACAATTTATATATATTTTACATTGATCTCTCTTAATTATCTTATATGGAAAAGATTAAGGTGAAATTTAATTAATTAAATATATAAGATCGATCCGCAAGTACAGCATGTTAGCTGCTTGAGAAGCCAATATTTTTTATTATTATTTAATCCTCATCACTAATAGACAATCCCTATGAAGCTGCAAAAAAGATTTCTAGAATCTAAAATTAAATGTGATTTTTCTTTTTTGGAAGACAAATTAAATGTGATTTGGTCTAGCTTCCATAATGTGCCATATAATATATATTTTAAACCCTTCTCCTTTCTTGATAAGTTGCTTAAAGAAATCTGAAGTTGTTAACAGCTGGGGCTTTTAGGGCACCCGTAAGCTGACATACAATTTTATCATGGAACTGGAAACCACAAGTAAATGTGGAACCCACCTTAAGTTTAAGCCTGCACAATCGGCAGAAATGATATGCTAATGGCGGATTGTTTGATGAATAAATTCAAATGATGATTTGAAGATTTTACTTAAAATTATTCGTTGTCGATTTTTAGAATTTTGTATGTATGGTCATAATCGATTCCTATTATAAATCATTATGTAAAATTAATTATGTTAAAAAATCAATTAAAATTAAGATCGTTTAGTCATCGAACTATATTAAAACAGACGAACGAGATTGATAAAAGTATTACGAACTGTCTTTGTATTTGCTATACTAAATTTACTAAATAACTTTAGTTTTAATTCATTTTTGCAGAGATTATCTTTACAGAGGACTTATAAATCATTAGCACAAAACTTTGTAATTCAAACATGAAAAGTTTAAAGTAGGAGTTCCTATTCATATTTGAGTAGCCAAGTATTGTTCTAATGGTTTGATTGATAGAATCCTCGTTTTAACTCATTGCATTCTGAATTATCCATAACCTCTTATTTTCAATATATTTCAAAATAATAATATCGTTTGTAATAAAATCAGAAAAGATATCCATAAAAAATAAATAAATAAGAAGAAGTAATATTTCTTTTTTGCATTCATTTGATCAAATAAAATTTTTTTTTTTGAATTTCCTCTATCTTTTATTACCAATTACAGATACCCGCATTTCCACATATCCTAAAGATGCTACTGTAAAAAATTATGTAATAAATATGACAGCCACCATAAAACACTGTAGGATAATTATTATAAATTGTTCGGGAAGCAAAATGGTCATTGTTAATTAACTTAATTTATCATAAAAAAACTAAATGTTTATAATAAAATTTGCAGACAGCATAAACTAGTGACATATGCAACTCACTTGCAGCGCGTGTTGGAGTAGTTTCTTGTTTGATTGATGCACAATATTTTAACACTTCAAATCACATTGACAATCGCTTTCAAGTAGTAGTCTATAAAGTCCACATCTAAAGGAAAAGAAAATATTTGATAAATGGAATACAATATTGTAGGACAATTATATAAAAAAATATGGAAAATATTAAAGTAATGAAATTATATGAGTTATGAAATTACTGGAAAAAAGAGAAGGAGCATAAAATCTAAGTATATAAACATAAGAATCTACATACAATCTGATCCAGCGATGCAATAATTACTGGCTTTGCAAGCCAGCTTAAAGGTCACTGGAGATCTCTGATTTCTCAGAGTTGCTTGCCACAAAGTTTTGGATTTGCAAAACCTATCTTCTCTTTCTCTCTCTACTTGCTATATTTCTCTCTCTCTCTCTCTCTCTCTCTCTCTCTCTCTGTGAAAGGGTTAGTCTGATACTCTCGTACATACATAGCGCGAGGAAGAAATCGAAATTAAGAAGATTGATCAGATGGGGAGCAGTTATTTTGGGGAGCCAAACATGGGAGGAGGTGGTGGTGGTTCTTCTTCTTCTTCTTCTTCAAGGAAAGGAAAGAAGAGTAATTCAGACAAGCCAAAGCAACCCCAGAGAGGCCTTGGAGTGGCTCAATTGGAGAAGATCAGATTACACGGTCAAATGGGTTCCACTTATCACCCTTCCCTCCACTCTCCATACTCCACTAGTTTCAACAACGTACGTACGCATATACTTTCTCTCCATCTTTGAGTAATTCGTAATTGGGTTCATTTGCAGAGAGAGAATTTTAAGTCTCATGGGGTTTTAATGTAAATTCATTATAATCTTGCAGGAGGACACCAGAGTGCAAACAGCTTATTCATCCCTACCATCACCATCTTTCTCTTCTTCACCATCCTCCACATCTTCCCCACTCTCTTATGGCTTCCACCCCAACATCATGGTGCGTTTTGTGTAATTTTCCACAATTTTCGTTAATCGTAATTTTGTTTCCAGTTAATTTGTTGATGGGTCACCATGCACATACATATATGTTGATCAATGATTGTGAAATGGTGTCCAACTTCATCTATGTCATGATCATCACCACCCACAACAAATGCTTACAATTCAATCATTTTTACCCAATTGGAGCAATTCTTTTCTTCCCCCTTTTCTGAGGTGAACGATAATGGTTTAATAGAAACGATAGTGGTTTTATTAGAACAATAGTGGTTCTTCCCCCCCCCCCCCCTCCCTTTAATTGATTGACTTTTCTTACATATAGGAAGTTACTTAATTTTATTCGTTATTTGGCTCCAAACCCTAGTTAGTCGCAGGCCATATGTTGCAATAAATCCAGTTTCTATAGTCAAACCTCATTACCTCTGAAAAACCATACTCTTGATCAGCCTTTAGCAGCTGAGTTCTTAAGAAGCACTTTCTTAAAAACTGAAAACAAGTCTGGACTCCATTGGAGCCGGCCTCTGAGTTTCAATTGTCGATATGTGAATCTTCACGTGTGAACTACTAAATGGGATTACACATGAGGGGGCATGTTGGCAGTCCCATATCGATGGGGGAAGTCAACAAAGATGGCTTTAAATATGATTACCCTACACTAACTAATACCGAGACTTTTTGTGGTAAAACTCCACACCTGACGGATTGGGCAGGTGGTAAAGTTGGGAACAATATCGGTGTCGCTAGAATGAGATCCCATGGGCTCATCGATCTAAAAACAATTTCAACAAGTAGTACTTCTGATCAATCTTATGGAGTTTCTAATTAATTAAATTCCTTAAAATTTCCCTGGTATTGCAGATGGGCGGTCTTGGTGAATATGAAAGAGCAAACATGATATATGGTGGTGATCATAATTCCCAACATAGTACAACAGCAGGGTGCGTATGCTTACTCTCTCCCTCTCTCGAATTCTTTGTGACTTCTGTGAATTGGTTTTTCTTTTCCTGAAATTGTTTTTGTTTCTAACCCGTACGTGAAATTTCAATTTCTTAAAACCAGATGGGACGTCATCCTAGACACAAAACATTTTGTGCAACCGAGCATGACTGGAGACCTTCTAAATCAACCTCCAGTAGAGGTACTTGTAATTACATGCTTTCTCACCTATCAAATGTAGATCTACTTTGACACATTAATTCCGATAAAATGAAACAAAATTAATAGGTGATAGATTTCCGCACACCCATTTTTTTAACATGCACAATTGCACATCCCTGTCCATTTAGCATTTTGCTTGATTAAATCAAAAGAGAATCAATGAACAAAAATAAACAGAGATGTGCAAAAAGAAAAAAAATTGGATGCAAAAATAATTTCTCAATTGGTAAACTATCATTCTATTTATTTCACATTTCTATATATATGCACTGGTGATCCAAGTTTGAATTGATTTGGTGATCTTATTATATCTGTAGGACTCTCAGCACAGGAAGACCGGAAAACATAGAAGTAGCTCCATGGGCTCAAGCAGTCACAACTCTGAATCAAGTGACACCCAAGATCTAGATTTGGAGCTCAGACTCTCACTTTAGTTTGCTCGAGTCTGTATGGGTTCATAACTACATGCGTACGTACGTTTTACTTGCAATTTCAAGCTGATCATCAAAATATGTGGCGCTTCAAATTGAGCATAGGCAACAAATTAATTAATTTTCATTTTCATGTGGAAAAGCTCATTTAATGCAAGTTTATTGACTTTGTCTGCATAATACAGTGATGAATTCTTCTTCTTGAACCGTTGAATTCATATTGCCTAAGAAAAGAAGGAACAACATTAGTACTAATATTTTCCTTGATACATAGTACAACTTTCTTGATTTCTTGGTTTGAGGAATGTTTCTATTCTCTCTAAGTCCTATTGATCAATAGTAACTAGTAAGCTTTTGTACGAAAGTTAAAAAGTGAATCAATTAAAATAAAGAAAACATGTTAAGAATATGATTAATTACTATTGTGTCAAGCGGATTCTAAATCTGTTCAGTAAAAGTGAGATTTAGTATTTAGTTTAACATCCGAATATAATCATTTTTTAGAGAAAAAAAACCACTATTTTTCTTCCTCATATTATGCTTATTCATGTCCATTGATTTCAAAAGCCAGAAATAAACATGATGCAATAGTGTGAAAAACACTTTCCATTATTTACACATATGCAGTAACAAAAAAAGAGCATAACACATGTTATTTCAGAAAATATGAGTAGAGAATCTTGTTGTATACACGACCTAGATCATACAATTATTTTCATAATACTCAGTGGTTTCTTTATTATGATTGTCGATTGACATTAAGAAAAGTGTGATTATACAAGATGAACGAATCCAACCCATAGCATATACATTCCATTTGCTTATAGAAAGTAAATAAAACTGTTGCCTTCTTAGCTTTCTTCAGATCATGTAGCAAAATATAGAAATCAACTTGATGATTACAGATGCAATGTCAGAAGTAAGTTGCAGAATCTTCATTTGGTTTCAAATTCGTGCAAAACATGCATATAAGGCGAACAGCTGGCTGCAATTAAGATCAAGATCTAGCTGTTTATGGGTGAATAATAACATGCATCAAGTCTTCATACTGTTTGTTTTCAACCAAAAAATGAAAAAAACATTTGGATTCCCATGGCTCACAGGTTGAGAGTGTTTTTCTCATGAAAAAAACTTGAAAAGTACCGTTAGGGTTCCGGAGTCCAGTCTTGCTTTTAAATTGAGGGTCCTCCCTGCAAAGCTGGAAAGTATATAGAAGAGGTGCAGAACAATACCTAATCGAATGTCTAACTTGGCAATCGACGCCCTTTTCAACAGTGTGTATTGTTCAGTATTCTTAGTTTTGAATGGATAATCTGTCAGAGGTTTATTTGTCGGCAAACTTGATGCGTTGCCCTGATTTCGTACAAAAGCAATAATTGAATAACAAAGTGGGATATGGATTAGATAACGCTGTCTACTTTTTATGCGGTACCGGTTTGAGCTTAGGTGTCAAAGACTCAATGGTTCGATCAGTTAAGGGTGAAGAATGAAGAGTCAAGATTGTGCCAGATGTCAGCAGATTATACAACTGGTTTTGTCAGTCAGTTAGGAGTTAGTTAAAGAAGGAAAATAGAGGCCTAAGGATGTAGAGTTTGCTAGAAGGTGTTTGTTGAACAGGATCCTATTCGGATTTTTTTTTAATGATGATTCTGGAGATTTGTGAATTGTGTTCATTTATCGTACATTATGCGATAAGTTTTTGTCAAGCATTATTTATGTTTATTTTTAAATAAAAATATTTAAAATAATTTCTAATCGTGTAATGCACGATAAACAGATACGATTAACGAATTTTCAGAATCTTCACAAAGAGGATCCGTTAAGGATCCGGACTCTCTGCTGTGTGAGATATACATCAGTAACGATCTTAATAAGTCGTTTTTCTGTTTCCAATAAAACTAGCAATCAGCACATATCCTCTGGGCGTGCAACTAATTCGTCTTTTTATTTTGCTACGACTTGTTGTGAGTAGGGATTGTCATTGAAAAAAAAACAAAAGGAAAAGGGCAAAAGGAAAAGAAAAAAAAAAAAAAGAGAGCAGTGAACTGATCCTTGCTTTTCTCCCTTTTTTCCATATTAGAATTCTTTCCCCTCCTCTTTCCATCTTCTTTCATCCTCTCTTCTTATATTTTCTTATTTTGTCGTTCTCATGTTATAAAAAATTACTATAAGATATTGACATGGCTTAACCGTGACCGTTCAAATAGGAAAGGAGGAAAAGGGAGAGAAAAAAAGAGAGGAAAGAATCCTACACCCTCTTCTCCGTCTTCCCACGTCCATTCGCACAGTATCAAACAACCGCTCCACCTTACTCTTCTTTTCGTAAGCCTATTATTCTATTTTTTGTATGATTGGAGGTTGTTTGCTTCTGGTTTTTCACTTTAATTTTGAATTTTTAAATAGGGTATGTTATTATTACATGGCTATAAGGCTCATGTAAAGATGGTAAAATTCGTGTTTGTGTAATTAATAAATTGCATATAATTTTTATTTATATTTAGTTTTAATTAGAGAATTATAATGGTAATTTCTTAAAGTTTTGGTTGACAACCGGATTCTATTAATAGGTAGTTTAGATTTAGTTCTCTTCCTATGACATGTTTAACATAGTGTCAACACATGTTGACTCACCTATAAAGTTCAACGTACACACGTACTTTGCGTTATTCTTGGTCTGTGTTTTTTTTTTTTTGGGTTTTCTCCCCTTTTCATTTTGTGGAACTTTTTTAGAAAATTATTTTAGTTTGACATATTATTCAATGCACAGATTAATTCGACACAGCACTAAATACTCAAATAATTTAATTAGTATTATTCGATGACTATTTATCCTATTCGACTGAAGTAGTCAGTATGGTTCGAGTTGTCAAATGAGGCATAATAAAAAATATGATACACGAAGTCAAGAAACAAAGTTCTTCATTAATTTATAATGTTCGAGGAAATGTGTATGTATATAAATATGTGCAACATTGATTGCCAAATTTATCATTTGTGGAGGGGCCTCCAGTTAAAAGTCACTGTTTTCGATTAAAAAAAAAAGGAAAAAGAAAATTGCTGTCAACTTGTTTGGATACCATGTATATTAGACCCAGCTATTAATTAAGTGTGGCATCGTTTTCTATAAATTTTTTTTTTTAAAAAAAAAAGCCCATTTTTTGTTGTACGGTTGAAGTTTATATAATGAATATCGTTATTTAAAAAAAATTTGTACATAACACATGTTGTTGTAAAAGAGATATGACATATTCAAAGGCAAATAATATGTTCAAAAATTGTCACTTAGTACTATGGTTTGGTGGTATTTATTTTCACTTGAAAATGAGAGGTATTAGGTTCAAATCTCATAGATGGTGAATTCGATACCAAATTAAGTTGCCCATTATGTGGTTTAGCTAAAAAAAAAAAATGGAAATTATATGGTTTGATCGATGGAACTGCTATAAATGGGTTTTCACCATAGCCATTAGTTTACACCCCTAAAACGAACTGGTGCCTTTGAATTGACATTCAAAATTAAGGGACGATACAAATTGAGGAAATGGTGATAACCGATAAAAATGATTAGTAGCCACGATTAGGGGTGCCTGCAAACAAGGATTAACAACCACATTGCTATTTTTGCAAAAGATCTTAACCGATTGGTGGCGATATATACTTACAAATTATAAAAGGAGAGATGGAGGGTTAAGCTGGGAATCAAAACAGAGAAGCACAAAGCAAGGAAATTGAAGAGCTATTGGAGAAATTTTGAGTTCTTCAATGGCTGCCTTGCATTACAAGCTTCTCATTTTTCTCCCTCTCCTCTTTATAATTAATGGGATTGACGCAGAACCTCATTTTACTCATTTGCCTCATTTCCCTCAATTCCCTTCCTTCCACCCCTTGGGTTTCGATGAACGAGATGGCAATGGTCGCATAGTTGAGGGCGCGGATTTTGCTTCTGCTGAAGGCTTTGATCCAAGGCCTGATAGGCCAGAGCCCCATAATGGTCCTACTGCCGGTAGGGCAGAGCCCGCTGCTGATCTTAAACGCAGCAGGCAAAACTTCCACAATAAGAAGCGTGCCGCGCGTCCCAAGCTTGACTTGCCGGGACTTCCCGGTGTTCCTCAGCCTGGCAAGCCAGCGGCAGATGTAACTTCACATGACTTCCCAACCCAATTCACTGGGGCGTGGCAAGTTGTTCAATTGAACTCAGGCGTGTCGGCCATGCATTTGAATTTGCTCCCCAACAACAAGATCCTAATGTACGATGCCACTGCCTTCCGTATTTCCAACCTTAAATTGCCTAACGGACAATGCATACCCTTCAAGAATGACAAGGGCGAGCAGTTAACAGATTGTTGGGCTCATGCAGTTGAATATGATGTTCAAACCAATGCAGTCAGGCCGCTAAAGGTTCGGATCACATGCACATTGCACTCGTTCAACTTATGCATATATTACAACATGAATAACGTTTTTTTATTAGACTTATATTGGTGTCGTATAAATGCTTACATTTTATTGATTGTGAATCTCGATCATATATAAGCATTTTATGTTGCTATACGGTCCATGCTAGTTCGCATGCCAACGCTCAAAAATAAGGTTTTGAGTTTATCATTTTACGAATCTATTTCCAAGTACCGGCGCTACAGTGACGGTGGTGATCTATAAACAGGTCCTTACAGACCCATGGTGCTCATCAGGAGGGCTGACCGCCGACGGTAGGTTTATAAGCACCGGTGGTTGGTTGGATGGAACTAGAAGTGTTAGATACTTCGATGCATGCCCCACATGTGACTTTAGGGATCTCCCCGACGCTTTGGCAGAACCAAGATGGTACGTATACATTATTGGACAATCCTATTAGTTTCTTGTGCACCAAGAATTGGTTTAGGGTTTCCACTAAAACACCTCGAAACATTAATTTAAATTAAATATTTTCAAACAAACTATTGTTTAGTGTTAATTAAGATTTTTGTTGTTTAAATCATAGGTATTCAACACAAGTTACCCTGCCTGACGGTAGATTCATTATAGTCGGTGGCCGCAAGGCATACAGCTTTGAGTACGTTCCACGGGAAGGACAAGCCAACAAGCAAGCCATCTTCTTGCCAATGCTCGACGAAACCACCGACCTAGACGAAAACAACCTCTATCCTTTCGTCCACCTTTCGACAGATGGCAACCTCTTCATCCTCGCCAACCGCCGCTCTGTCCTGCTCAACCCTCAGACCAACAAATTAATCAAAGAGTTCCGCGTGTTGGGTGGTGGATCGCGAAACTACCCGGCATCAGGGATGTCAGCCCTGCTGCCGATAGACCTGAGTGTCCCCAACCCTCAGCTCGTCCCTGCCGAGGTCATTGTTTGCGGTGGTGCAAAGCCCGGGGCTTATGCCCTTGCAGGCAAGCAGAAGTTCATTCCCGCGTTGCAAGATTGTGCCAGGCTTCGGATTACAGACGCTGACCCTAAGTGGGTTAAGGAAAAAATGCCCTCTCGCCGTGTCATGGGAGATCTACTTATCCTCCCAACTGGAGACCTCTTGCTTATTAACGGTGCCCAACTAGGTATGCTTGCCTCATTCTCGTAAAGGTTTTTCTGAACTTTATTTTCCCTGGGGTTTTTAGATTTTCATCTTTTGGTAATTAAAATGGTTTCCTTGATTAAGTTCGGATGTTAAATTAGAGTTTGATTTATGTCATTTGATTAGCGGTAAGTTATTATGATAATGATGGCTTGCTTGGAATTACTTCGGTAGCAAACACTTACGCTGATTGTCTTGGTGCTCCAAACGAGAAGAGGAAAACACTCATGTATAAGCACTTTTGTTAAACATATTTTTGTTAGAATCACTTTTAAATTAAAGCTTAAGTGTTTCTAATGCAATTGGGGGTGTGCTTCTACGACGTAAAGGTCCTTTCATTTTTCCAGAAGTAGTTTCAAACCTTTAAAAAAAACCCTAAACATACATGCAATCCTTATAACAATTTACTTGTACCCTAAGAACCATAATCAAAATCTAATCTCAAACTAAAGGCATATTCTAAATTTCTAATATATCAAGTAACATAAGTCTGTCAAAAGAACAATATAAATACAGCAATTTGTAACCCTAGTTTTTTTCAACAGGTGTGTCAGCATGGGCTATGGCAGAGCAACCCAACTTCACTCCTGTGCTTTACAGTCCCAACAACAAACCAGGAAACCGATTCAAGAACTTGCAACCGACTCTGATTGCAAGAATGTACCACTCAACCTCCGCACTCCTCCCTAATGGCAAAATCCTTGTAGCAGGCAGCAACACCAACCCAGGGTACCAGTTCCAGGCCAAGTACCCAACCGAGATGAGAATCGAGCACTTCTCGCCGCCTTACCTGGACCCGGCATTGGCTATCCACCGCCCTGCCATCATGGACAAGAACTCCGACATCAAGTTGAAGTACGGCAAGCCATTCAACGTCCAGTTTCAGCTCCAAGACAACCCCGCGGCCATTGCAGACATCAAGGTGACAATGTACGCGCCGCCTTTCACGACTCACGGGTTCTCGATGAACCAGAGGTTGGTTATTTTGGGAAAGAATGACTTGAAGAACGTGGCACGGGGTGTTTACAAGCTTCAAGTGGCGGCGCCACGTTCGAGCATGTTCGCTCCGCCAGGGTACTACCTGCTTTTTGTTGCCTATCGCGGTGTGCCTAGCGTGGGAATTTGGGTGCAGATTCTGTAATTAATTAGGGCTGGCTTAATTTCCTAGCTTCATGATCGCCTGCTTCACTCATGTTTAAATCAAAATTAATTAATTATTTTGATTATACCATGATATCTTTCTCTTTTCTTAATTTGCTTCGTCATATTAACTTTGATCGATGTACGTCAAATTTATAACGAAATTACAATAACAACAAAACATTTTCCCACTAAATACGCTAACTTTTGGATGACTAGACATCATTATGCTAGTCCAAACAAAAATTTTAGTTGAAGGGGGACAAAATTGGTGTGATAACTACAATCGAGTTAAAGTTGTTGATTAGTGTACCATTCTCACCATTTTGAATTTTCATTCGAGGTTAAACGGGTACATATAACCCTAATTTATAATTATGATACTCTTATCCAACAATTTTAAAGGGTCGGATTACCACAAACACTAGTATCTATGATTATTTTGCTCATGATTAATAACTAAAATATAGATTATCTTTCATTTATAACCCAAAAAAAAGGAGTTGACTAAAATATGCTGGAAGAAGTTTTACGGTCGAATCATCTTTCTTCTGTCACTCACAGCGGGCGCCAAGCCGTGCAGGCTCAACCAGGCAAAAGGGAACTATTTGATCGAATTCCTTGAACAAACCTTGTAAGCACCAAATATATAAATAGTTGAGAACTTTGTATGAAACCTCTCTGCAGGGCTGCACGTCAGGCCAACTGGCCAAGCAAATTATGAACTCGTCATTTCCCAGCTGGCCAGCTCAGCTGTCCCCACTACTAGCATTAGTCCCAAGCACAATTTTCTCCTAAATTCCTAATCGCACCGCGTCCCAGCTAATGACACCCATTCTCTCCTACTCTTACAACATCTATGTCATTTGCACCACGACCCCACGAAAACATTGGAAATGAACAAATAATTAGAAGTCAAACGTATTAATCAACAATTTTAGCGTTTATGGTCATTTCGTTTTTAGTTTTATGTTTAATTTTGCCAGTATAGATATATGAGAGAAACGAAATCGACCTTGGAAAATTATGTCGTGTGGTCACAAAATGAAAATGAAAAATGCCAGCGACGGTTGGCTCAGTTATACACCTATCTTGTGTGTCGCTCCACCTAGATTTGAGTCCCACTATCAGCAGTCTTCGTTAGTGCACGACCTGTAATTGTTACGTAAATTTAATTCATACCCTTGGTAGCTGGTAGTTAGGTGCCAAGCGTGAGTTCTCCTGGCTCGAGCTTATGGGTATGCTCTGGCATTGGTGTTGAGAGTAACCAATCTCCCCCTAAACTTTTTGTTACAAAAAAAAAATGAAAACTCACTTTTAAGATTTTGTTTTCAGTTATGCATCTTTGTTTCTTCCCCTCCTCCCTACCACCTTACTAGGGTAGTGTCCCCTTTCTGCGCTCAAATTCAAATCCGGCTAAAATGGTTTGACAATGTGCTCTCCTCTATATTCAAGTTCGAATCCCTCTCCTCTAGTGTAAATTATATTAGAATGTATCGCTTGAATATAAATAAATAAAAAATGTATTTGCAATATAATTGGTAAGTTTTGACTTTTTTTTTTTTTTTTTTGGGTGAACTATAAGTTTTGACTTTTGAGAAGCATGCTTCAACGTTTTTTTATTAAAACAAGAATGTCAAAAATTATGACTACGTCGTAGGAGAGCATATTTTGCACACTGCAAAACAAAAAGTTATATAAAGCCATCAAGAAGCCAAAGCAAGACGCATTGATCGATCCCATTTCCAACAAGTAAATTGTTGTCCTAGAAAAAAGAGGAAAATCTAGTTGGGACTGAAGTCGAAATGGCAGTTTTGCATGCATTCCTGGTAGCTCTATGCATCACTGTGTTCCATCAAAATGTAGCTGATGCAACTGCTGCAAAGAGCATGTACCTCACCTGGGGTACCCAACACGCTGCGATTCAAGGCGAGAATCTTAACCTCGTGCTCGATCAAACTTCAGGTTAGAACAACTTCTTAGATTTCTCATGCTCTACGTGCTTAGATCAAAGAAAACGAAGCAAATAAATGCATAATGATCAAGTTATCTCCTCTAACCAGACTACATTAATACTGCCCTTGCTTTGCAGGGTCTGCTGCTATGTCAAAGAGAAATTTCTTATTCGGAAGCATCGAGATGCTGATTAAGTTGGTACCTGGGAATTCCGCCGGGACAGTAACAGCCTACTATGTAAGTTAATTACTAACTGAAGCAAGATAGATAGCTCATAAAAACACCCAAAAAAAAAAAACCAGAGCGAGATAATCTCTCTTCGTTGACAATGAATCCCCAATTCCAGGGACCTACAGAACAAACTAACGTGTGCTAATTTGTTCATACTCGAATTTGTGCAGCTATCGTCAACAGGAACCAAACACGACGAGATAGATTTTGAATTCCTAGGGAACGTTTCTGGACAACCTTACATTGTCCACACAAACATATATACACAAGGAAATGGAAGCAAAGAGCAGCAATTTTACCTCTGGTTTGACCCGACTGCTGATTTCCACAACTACACCATACATTGGAACCCTACTGAAGTTGTGTAAGTTAACTAACGACCGAGGCGCCTTTGCTTTCAATCTCAACAGGGTGAAAAGAAATCATCTTTAGTTCTATGAGTCATGGAACCAAACAATTTCTAAACTTCAATTCATTTTTATGATTTCAGGTGGTATGTCGATAGTTTACCCATTCGTGTTTTCCGAAACTACGAAAACCAGGGGATTGCTTACCCCAACAAGCAAGGGATGCGGGTTTACTCCAGCTTATGGAATGCTGATAACTGGGCAACTAGAGGTGGGCTAGTGAAGATAAATTGGACCGGTGCGCCCTTCACAGCCGGATTCAAACACTTCAGGGCAAGAGCCTGCAAGTGGACTGGAGCTGCCAGCATTAGTGTATGCGCCGCCACTTCCCAGGCTAACTGGTGGACTTCCCCTGTATACAGCCAGCTGAGCAACAGTAAGCTCGGCCAGCTGCAATGGGTCAGGAATAACTACATGACCTATGACTACTGCAAAGACACCCAACGATTCAATGGAAACATGCCACCTGAATGTTCTAAACAACAATTCTGATTTGAGGCTAAGCAATCAAGCTACAGAAAGAAACCCGAATCCGGTTTCAACCAGACGACTGATTCTGCAGCCTTAATTGGCTTTCCTCTTCCAGTTCACAACTGACAAATAAATTTTCCTCGCAGTTTTTATCTGTTTCGATATTTCAATTATGTTGTTTTCTGCTGTTTTGTACAATTCTTTTACTTGTATTCCAGTTACATGGATCTATAAAGTTATAAACTTTCAGAGAAAAAGAAGTATCAATTAAACGACAAAGTTCCTGTTGATTTTCCTTTCTTTTCTCAGCAGCCAAACACTCAAACATCAATAACCAAACAAATCAAGCAAACTATGCCCCTTGGAACTCGATTTTAATCAAACAAATCAAGCTTGCTATGCAACACAAGTAATCTAACGGATATTTAACAGAATAAAATCGAGTTCTACGGCATATCAAATACTAAGCCTAGACTTTATACAAACCTAATTCATAAAGTAAATGAACCCAATAAGTAAAATTTGCAATTCAAAATGTTAATCAATCATTCACATTTGTCACATTCTATTACCTTTTCAGTTCCTCAGATTAATAAATTTCAGAGAAAGAGCATGTATTAATAAAATGACAAAAATTTCCTCTTGATTTTCCCTCATTTTCTCATCAGCCAAACACTCAAGCATTCAGTAATCGAACAAAACAAGCTAATCTACGCATAAAGTTTACGCAAAATTTTAACATCCAATTAATTGATACAAAGCCAAATGCCCAAAACAATCAAAGCCGTACCGAACATAGCGAGGCCGAGGTGGGTCTGCTCCCCCAAGAGCAAGCCAAACACGGCGGTGGCGGCAAACGTTGTCGCATTAGTGACGGGGACGGCGAGCGAGATCGGAGTGTGGCTGAGTATGGCGAAGAAAGTAGCGGAGGCGGAGACGTTGACGAAGAAGGGGACTGTGTACTGCCAAATTGCGAGGAGCTTGAGCCAGCCAGTGAGGGAGGCGAGAAGCTTGTGGTGGATTGGGCCGGGCTGGGCTGAGGAGGAGGATTTGAGGGCTTGGTCCCAGAGAAGGGCGCCGCGGCGCATTAGGGCGTTGGTGGCCCCCCAAATGAGGCCCACTCCGATCATCTTCTCGACGTCTCCGATCATCGGCGTTGATCCGATCTCTCTGCGAGTCTCTGCTCTGTGTTGCAGCTACTTGACCCGTATGGTCCGGTGGTGGGAAATCAACGAAAACTACAACCAAATGCAACAAAACGATGCTGCATTGGATGATTCGTTATTTCGGTTGTGTAATAACTTATACGGGTGAATGTTTTGGGGGAATGAGGATCTCCGGATCCTTTTTGTGAGAATTATAAAGATTTTTAAATTGTGTCCGTTTATCGTACGCGGTCAGATAATCTAAAGAGGATTCTCATTCTGTTTTGGATAGTGCCATTCACCCAATCTTTTTTAGGTCTCACAAACTCTTATTAATTTTTGTCTATTGATTTTTTTAAATTCATTCGATTTGAAAATCTGAGAATAAGAAGGAATGTGAAAAATAAAAATGAATCTGTGAATAGTACCGCTCACTTTATCTTCGAAAATGTGAATTAGACTAGCTGATCAAAACAATTCATTACCTGATTGCATCAAATTTCAAGTGTATTTTTGTCCACCATTTTTAGTAGTATTAGTATTCACAGCGTTATCACTTTTAAATTAAATTTTAAAATATCTATTTATCCACTACACATGTTTCGAAATTTAAGTTCGTTCAACCATATAATTACGATTTTAGACATTGCCGTCAATTGAAATTCGTCACCGAGAATCCCCAAACATAAAGTGAAGGGTAGCATTGTAAACCACCTCACATGTTATTGCATGTTGTGGTCCACGTGACCAAATCTAGTTGGCAATAAAACAAGACCGCGACGGCGGTAAATCAAGATCCTCTGCAAACGCTTCCATTTTCCCGAGAACACCAACGCTTCTTCTCCAACCAGAAAAAAGGTACAACCCATAAGAGCGCGCATCCAGAAAGGAATCTACAAACGACGGCAGAGGAATATACCTGCGCGGGAATCACGTGGTTGCACTCCCAGATTTACCCGCCATCTACCAATTTATTTACCGAACTGACACCGACACATTTGGCGGTAAAACTACGAGTTGACAACAATACCCTTAGTGAAAAGCAAAAATCCCCAAAACTCTTTGTTCGAGGGGTGAGGTTTGTGTTTGTCAAGCGGAATGGAAATACGCTGCTCATGCTGTAGCCTCATATATTACCTCGCATGGAGGTGCTTTCTGTTGAAATGTTTTTGGTTCGGAGTTTTTATTTAATATGTTTACTGAAGAGGTAAACGTTTATATTAGAATTTAATAAAAGTTATCATTTGATCAAAAAAAAAAAAAAATTTCTCTGTCCAATTCCGACACAAATCTCTACAAAGTCAACAAGTCAATGGCCTCCACCAACCCAAAGTTCCGAAACTACCCTTCTACTTTCGTTCTTTATCCATGCCACAACAAGTCAACAAGTCGCCTGTGTGTGGCTTCAGTTGTTCAGTTCCAACGTATAAAAATCCAAATTTCGAAAATTAAATTTTTATTTTTTTTCTCGATTTCTCTGGTTTCCGATTCGGATCCAAAATCCGAAAGTCTATGAGTTGAGTGACCCGATCCGGGAATTCGGACATGGAGCGGGTCATCGGCGGCAAGTACAAGCTCGGCCGCAAGATCGGCAGCGGATCGTTCGGCGAAATCTTCCTAGGTGAGTGTCGTGTTGAATCTGAGCCGTTGATCGTAGAAACAGTGGCTGAATCCTGTAAATTGTTTGAATTTCATTTGCAGCTACTCACACCGAGACGTTCGAGATCGTCGCCGTTAAGATTGTAAGCTCCTAATTATCTCTCTCCGTTTTTTTTCTCGATTTTCAGTTGAAATTACTGGTTTTTTTAATTTAATTTATGTTTATGCACTTCAATTGTCATCAAATTTGAAGTCTTTGCCTACTTAATTAGTGAAGAAGCATTTTTTAGCTTAATTACTAGTTAATTCAAGTAATTAAGTTGATTTAATCTCTGATCAATGCAGGAGAACAGTAAAACGAAGCATCCACAGCTGCTTTACGAGGCGAAATTATACAAAATCCTTCAAGGAGGAAGTACGTTCTGTATACGTATTCGAATACGTATATTTTATATTACTGCATATTGGTTTAGTGTTTCTGTGAGCAACTGAGCGTTACTGTTTTGATTAATTTGAGTGTATGTAATTGTTCAGGCGGTATTCCGAACATAAAATGGTCGGGAATCAACGGCGAGGACAATGTGCTGGTTCTCGATTTGCTGGGACCGAGTCTTGAGGATTTGTTTGTATATTGTGGGAGAAAGTTTTCGCTCAAGACCGTCTTAATGCTTGCTGATCAAATGGTAATACATTGTGACGGGGTTTAAGTGGAGCTTGCGCAGCGCAGCTCATGCATTATATTAGATGCGTTCGCATATAGTTAATCTGCTTTGCTACCTTACTCTTTTCAGATCATTTTCGTTATGAAAGTTACAATTTTTCGTGATGAAATTTCTTCCCTTTGTGAAAGTTGAAAAATTTTCAAAGAAATAGTTCATTACTTTTATTGAGTTTCACTTTTGTAATTCGCATTCTTCATGTCACTGAATGATATAATGTTTATGTGTGCTCGTATCAAGATTACGAGGATAGAGTTTGCGCACTCGAAAGGTTTTCTGCACAGAGATATAAAACCTGATAATTTCCTCATGGGTCTTGGTCGAAAAGCAAATCAGGTGATGCTTCTTCGTTGTCTTTTTATCGTTTAAGATGTATTTCAAGTTTATATTGCCATCAATCTGTTTTCACTTATCTTATTAGGTTTACATAATTGATTTTGGTCTTGCGAAAAGATATCGAGATGCGACAACCAATCGTCACATCCCGTACAGGTATTTCCAGTTTCATATCAGGGCGATCTCTCATTTTCTTCTCTGTGTGCTGAGACGCTTGAGGAACAATTGAAATATAACATGCAACCTTTTTAGTATTATATTGCTTTATATTACTATTTTTAACACTTGCCTCATACAGGGAGAATAAGAACTTAACAGGAACCGCACGTTATGCAAGCTGCAATACTCATCTTGGAATTGGTAGGCTGCTCGGTGTTAAAATCTTTTAATCTGTTGGCAAAAATACTCATTAACCTTATTTATTGTTTTGTTCTTAGAGCAGAGTCGGCGGGATGATTTGGAGTCTCTTGGATATGTTCTTCTATATTTTCTCAGAGGGAGGTACTTATTCTGTTTCCACCCATTTTTTACTTTTAATTTGTAGAAAGGAATTGAAAAACTTATACAGTAGGAGAACCCGATGATATATTGTTCATGCCATATTATGTTTCGACCCCCTTGTCCCCTGACGATTTTACTTTTCCTGCTTATAGCCTTCCGTGGCAGGGTTTAAAAGCTGCCACAAAAAAGCAAAAATATGACAAAATTTGTGAGAAGAAGTTATCAACCCCTATTGAGGTTTGTGTCAACTACTCTGTGCACTTTAATTTTTATCTGGTGTCAACTGGTCTGACTGCTGTTTTCTAAAGGTTCTATGCAAATCTCACCCGGTGGAGTTCGCATCATATTTCCATTACTGCCATTCACTGACATTTGATCAGCGACCTGATTACGGATTCTTGAAACGCCTATTCCGTGATTTGTTTTCTCGTGAAGGTATTGGTGTTCGAACTTTCCTGTTTTTTCATACGTTGTAAATTAAGTCCTTCACGTTGCTTAGGTCCTCTTAGCTTGAAGTCAATGTGCTTTCATATGTTTGATTTCCCCTTACCAAAAATTCCCATATGATAAATTATGTTATATACGAACTATATATCTCATATACTTCTATGAACATTTTAGAGCTTTATTTTGATGCGGATTCAGTATTCTGGATGCTTGTCTCCAAATGGCAGGGTATGAATTTGATTACGTATTTGATTGGACCATCATTAAGTACCAGCAATCGCAAAAGAATGATTCTGTAAGTGCAATTGCTGTTCAGTCTTTTCAGATTTTTTTTAGTTGTATGACTCTGAGAACGTTGGGTTACTGCTGCGCTTCTAATTTGAGTCCCACATGTTCAGCCGGTTCCTGGAGGAAGCAACAGTCATGCAATGCCAGTGCGGGTAGATAATCATCAAGGTTAGATCTTCGTGATGGACTTTTGCATATCTTAAATAACTGACTTCTCTAGTACAGCAGAGCGAGCATTTTCCTTTAGTGAACTTTTGCATATCTTACCCAGCTGAGGTCACAGATCGAATTAGATCAACCAATCCCACTGGTCCTGGTGTCCGCATGCAATTTAAATCTCCAACAATGGGCAGGAATTTAAGTTATGACAACCCTCTTGAAAAGAATGTAAGTCATATTACCGTCCAGTAACTACTGTGATGAAAAGAAATTTTTCTTCTCGCTCCTTTTATGCTGTATCTCTGTTACATTGTTCAAAACTTAGTTCCGAATATAACTCACGGATAAAAATTTCCCTTTTTAGATTGTGAATGAAGCATTCCCTCCTCCGTCTACTTCATTTTCCGGCACCTCAAGAAGGAACCCCACAAAACCTCTTTTGCCCACTGAAGCTACAAACACTGGTCATGGACATGGCAATAAAGTAGGTCCTTCGAGTAGCTGGATTCAATCACTGCAGCGCATCTCTTCAGCCAAGTGACCTTTATGGTAATTCATTTTATTCATACTTGGGGTCATCATTTGGTTGGCTGCTTTTGTAATTGCGGCTAATGCTCTCGTCTATCTTCTTAAGCATTATTGTTGACCGGGTGCTTTCCGCTGTGTTTTAGCAACAGGTTTGCTCTCTAAGATTCGAGCACATCTTTGAAGCTGCAGATGTACGGCGATTTAATTGTCAAATATGCAATGTGTCTATTCAGGAAGATCTTACAGATGCATCTTCGTAGACATTGAGTTAGTTCCTTGGTTTGTGCTAGTTTTTTTCCAAAAGGTGACTAGAAATGTGTTGGTTACAAGATACAGAAAACCCAAAGCTTGGATTCTGTGCTGTACATAGTTCTCATAAGTGACACAGCCGTGTCTTGTATTTAAGTTTTTCTCGTAACACAAATGATGTGTGATGCTATTTTTTTTCATTGTTGTTATATAATACGGAGTCTCCATGCCATTTGATGTTTATTTACAGTCTCTTTATTTTAAGATTCCTAAAATTCGTCTGAAATAAATTTGTTTTTCGAATGAAGCAGCTTCAGGAGCTGATTGGCTTATGATGGACCTGCTTTTTTCTTTTTGTGTGTGTAACTAAGTTATCGGAACCAGACATTTCTATTTGACATTTTCATATGTTTTCGGCTATATTTTATAAACTTTGCGAGAAGTTGAAAAAATACAGAAAACAGGTCAGAGGCACTTATGTTACATACAGGTCTTTTGGCAGGTATGGCAGATTTCTTTCCCAAATTACTCGAATTCCTATTCCGCTTCTTGGATGTCCATAGTAAGGTACGCATCTCTCTCTCTCTCTCTCTCTCTGTGCTAATCGTTTAATTGATCCCAGTCACACACAGACATACAACGTTTTAATCGATCATGTATGTGCTTGTACTGTAGATCGTATTGGACTGCCCAGGATTGTTCAATATTTCGTCTTTAAATAAAGTCGATCTTTGCAATTTAACTTTCACTTGCTTGAGTATAAACTAATGGCCTTTGTGTGACATTGGAGCGGAGTCTGTTTTTCTTTTATATATATTTACTTAGGCAATGGAGGCTTATTTGTTGAAGTGGTATTCGTTTGTTGGGTTTCAGGGACATCCATTGAACTAGGAGAGTGCATATATAGGCGATGTTGGTGCTGGTGCTCAAGTACCTCATCTACGGGAGATTCTAGCGTACACCCGAGGACATATCTCCCTCTTCCTATACAGATTATGTATAGGAAGTGGGAGGGCCAGGACAGCCAAGAATCGCCTATCAAACACCCTGTGGAGCTCCTCATCATTCGTTTCTAACGGGTACTATGATTGTTTGCCTCTTATTTAACTATTCCCAGTCTCAGTTTCCTTATAAACTTCAAATTTAAGCTGTAAATCTGGTTCTGTAATTCATTTCGACATCAAAAGTTCACGCGTGGGAGTGGCTGATGAACCTTTTCGCCATCGTGAAACAGTACGTAAAGAGGAGTAAAACATAAAATATTCTTCAAAATTGTTAACCCGCTATACATTATAATGTATATGTACAAAATACTAGGAGCAGATGCAAAATTGGGACAGGACATGTTCCATCTATTGGCACATAAACAACGGCTTCTCAGACGGAAAAACCAGCCCTACTCCCGGAGCTGCATTACCAGGTATGTCATTTGTGGAACACTAAAATTGGTCTGTTGAATCCGGTTTTGCTGCCCGACACGCTTGAAGTGATGTCCTCCACTTTTCTGAATCCTATCTGTAATCATATGAAACATCAGATATTCCCAGATCTAAACCGATAATTAGCAAAAATACCACCTGAATTCGAACTATAAGCCGATTGAAAATACCTTATCCAGAAGTAAGTCTTGAAAATCTTTCGGGTACACCATAAGATTCCTATAATTTTCTTTAGTTGTCTGCACAACGGAACAAATAAATATTTAGAATCAATTCCAGTAAAGCAATGAAACCTAAAACTCGAAAATTCACAAATGCCTTAAAAGACGATTACCTCAGAAACTCTATAATTCTTTTCGTAGGACGTCCAAGGTTGAGGTTCCAACACAAAAATTCCGCCCTGCTCATACGAAGAAAAAATCGTCATACTTCTCTCCGCAGGGTTATCGTGTTACTAGGGAACGTTATAAATCAAGATTATCTTAAACTAAAATTCCATGCTTAGTTGACAGAAGGCGAGAAAAGAAAAACGAAACAAGCATGGCACATCAATGGTTATAAGAATTACCGGACGAAGTAGACTCCAAACCCTTGTAAATAACGTAATCAATCCATCGTCACCCCAATTCAGATGAATCCATTTCGACACGCTCAAACTGTATTCGAGAACAACACAATAAGGGATGTAATGTTATACTAGCAAATGCGACGTTATGACTGTTACAGGCATAAACAAAAAACTGGGGTAACCGCTTGTTTTGGGAAGAGGGGGGGGGGGGGGGGGGTGGCGGGGTGGGGTGGGGGGGTTGTGTTGGGGGGCGGGGAATCACATCTACCAGTTGTCTCATGAGAGGTACTTGTTCATGGAGTACTACTCATCGATGGTCGATGGATAGACAATACCTCGTTACTTCCTAGATGTAGAAAAATCTGAAATTTCAGAACTCGATGGCGATCTATACTCGTTATTCTTATTTGGTCAACCCGTTTAGTATCATAGCAAGTTTTCACATACTATTGATATCCTTAGTAGGACTGAAACAAACATAATATATCAGAATAACTGAGAAAAAGGTGGCGGCGGAGCTTACCATATAATGGTGTCGTAATGATTTTTGTGTGGATCCCGACTGTTAACAAAATCTTCTTTTCGGAAAGATACTGTGTCGAGCAGATCCTTCTCCTCGGAAGAGCCATTTACACCCTCCAATTTAGAAGCCTTTCCGGGAGTCTTCCTAGCATTCTCCGTTCTCAAAAATTTCCTGGCGTGCCAGTAAGCATCCTGAATTCGATCTGAAAGAAAACAACATTGAGATATAATAACGGAATTATGCATACACGAACAAGCTGACTACATTTAGAGAACAAAGTAAAGAATTTTAAACTTGTTTGAACTTCAATGAGATGATATTAAGAATCTAAGATATGATCAGAATCTTACTGGCGTCGATGTCAACACCGAGAATGCTCCGGCAGCAAAACTTTTTGGCTGTAGGCAAGCACATAAAGATGTCGATGCCACGGCAAGAATAATCACACTCAAGAACCACATACTTAAAGAAAGCATTTCAACCCGCAACTACAAAAGAGCCTAAACTCGACAAAACCAAGAAATTCACTACATTTTGCCGACTCAGACTATGAACTTCTATCCAAATAAGAATTAAATTTACCATTTGTTTACGAAAGATTAACAAAGACAACAACAACCAAGCCTTTTCCCACTAAGTGGGGTCGGCTGAAAGATAAACAGAGACGATACAGTATAATCAACAAAGTCGTAAAAAATAAATTCCAAATACGATTTAAACTGAGAGAAAAGTACCAATTTGAATGGTCATGATTCCAGAATTGCAGCCAATGTCAAGACAATCCTTTCCTTCGAACCATTCCTTCTTGAAAACCTTCAATCTAGCATCTTCCTCCATTTCTTGACCAATCTAAAACACAATGTAAAGGCACTAAGATTCCACATTCTTATCGAGAGAACAAATATCGAGACGGTTAAACAAATATCCATTTTCATTCAAAAGTGCACAAGTCACAAACAAGTTTATCTCACAAACATACAAAAAAAGAAATCATTCATCCAAATTCTCTTCATCTAAATCAAAGGTAATACCATCTTCTTCGTTGCCAAGTCTCCATTAAAAAAAAAAGGCACAGTCGGACCATGTCCAGTCGAGTTTAAGCCAACTCCCGCTGGGCAAAGGTGTTTTCATGTCGCCTCGCCTCCAAAGCCGCCTAGCCGCGTTTTTTAAAACACTATTCATGGGTGAAATTTAGCTTAAGAAATTTTCAAAACATAAATCGAAACAGTATCCATAATATCAATCCGACTACTTAGAAGCTTCACAAATGCACTGCATTGATAATCCAGAACACCAATTCCCACAGAAACTCGAACGAAATACCATAATTTTAATCAAATTTGACAAACACCTAATTGGGTACCCTTAAACTCAATTATACATAAACCCCACTTCAATATCAGCTTCAAACAACCAAATAAACAAAAAAACCCAGAAAATCCCAAACAAAAAATCGAACCTTTAGTTGTCTTTAAACTTGTTTAAGCTTTCCCTGACAACCCATCAGAGCAATAACAACATTCAAAAGTACAAAATTGTGGGGGAAGGAGGGGATTCGACTTACCCGATAGCCGTAGTAGCTTTTGTAGTTTCCGTAGGGGAAAATCTCCTTCCGTTTCTTATTACTGATCAGCCCATGTTGCTGTTCGCGCTCCTCTGCTCCCTTCTTCTCTTTATGTGAGCTGGACATGGCCAAAAACGGAATTTCGTCGCCGAAGCGGAGTAAAGTTACAGTCTTTCAGAGTTTCTTAGGTCGAAGGAAGGAGGGGGAGAGAGGGGGAATGGGGAGTTTAATTGCTTTTATACAAGGTTTAGGGTTTTATATGAACACATTGATTTAATTTTAAATTTTTATCGGGGAAACAAACGGAAAATAATAACGGTAATTTAAAATTCCTACGCAACGCTACTTATTTTATTTGGGTACGCGCCAAAACTTTGGTTGGAGTGTAAAAATAGAGCAATTCTTACACGAGAAATGTTAAAAGAAGAAAGAATCTCTCAAGATGGACTTCTTTTAGAATTATTCGTTAACTTATGTTTTTTGCAAAATTTGTGTGTTAACAATATATAACATTGTGCAAATATTATAAAATATTATACAAAAAACGTGAAATAACATAAGGTTCAACTTTTAAGAGTCTCGTGAGCATTTCTTTACTTTAAGTTGGATCAGCGTATTTTTACATGTAAGGAATACGAATTGGAATTATTTGGATTCTATTATATTTTTAACTTTTTTCTGCTTTTACTTACAAGTAATGAATAAGAAAAGTATAAGCTTTCTTTCTTTTAAAATCCGTAATCAAATATCTTAAAATCAAGAATTAGATCGACAAAGAAAAACTAATTGACCTGACTTCCTTTCCTTACGTCTCCTATTTTAAAGCTCTCCAATTCCTTTCTTTTCCCTTTTCCGTGATCAATGACTGCAACAAATTTCACACCAAAAGAAATACACGCCCTACTCACTTCCCGCCAACCCAAATTACAACAAAATTAGGGTTTATGTTGTCACTACTCACTTCTCACCAAGCCCGGGCCCAAGGAAAGAGCGAAAGTGGCCATACCATTCACAACCATATTCATCTCCTGGTCAATATGCTTAATCTCAAACCGCCGGGAAAGGTCTCCGGCGAGCAAAAACCAAGAGGAACATTATGTATATAAGCCTGTGAAACTAAAACAACTGCTTGAGCAGAATCTGAATCGACCTGAAGTTTTGAGAGGATTACTTCCCACAGCAATAGTGACAGGTGAATTACGAAAAATGATATCTCAAACTAACAGTACCACTGCAAAACTAATCATTGTTTTCCTTTTTCTTACAATGTCTGCAACGCTAATCGTGAGATCAATATTTGTTACAAAGGTTATTCAAAGCTAATTATAATTTTATCTACAAAACGGAATTCAATACGTACGTTCAGGAGAACCAGCTTCATAGAATCATCTTGGCCCGAGATTTTGGTTTCAGTATCACAAGCATGGGTACGCGTAAGCCACCTATAACTCACTCCAATTCCTTGAGGAAATCAACATTATCCACGAAAACCTGCAACATGAAAGATGAGAGATGAGACCTTGTAATCATGGGGTAATAAGCCGCCAACCAACTTTCGGTTGTCAGGGTGCATATATACGTAAAGCTTAAAGGTATGAGCCATACCGACTTCCATCCGTCAGGATCCAAGCAAGCAGTGATCTTTGTGTTGAGACCAGGTAATGGCCCAGGTTCCCGGGTAATCTTGCCCCCACAGAGTTTAATTGCTTCGGCAGTTTTATAGACATCATCTGTGCCTATTGCTATCTGTTGAGAGAAAAAAGAAACCATTTTACAACAGAAGAAGGGATGTTAGCAAAAGAAGAGGTGGGGAGAGGTCCGGTGTCTACCTGAGCATAAGCATTTCCTTTGTTATATTCGGTGACCCCATAATTGTATGTCAACTCCAGAACGGCGCTTTTGTCTTCGGGACCATAACCCATCATTGCTATAGTATACTAGAAGTAATGAGCACGATTGTGTCAATAAGGTATAGTGCAAAAGAGGATTCCTGTAACTAGTGACAATTGTGGCAACATGAAAAGTACAAATCTCTAAAAATATTGGTTAGGCATGCTGCTATGTTCTTCTGTCATCACGCTTCAATCTAGAGTCTCACGTTACTATCTTATCATACTTGATCCATCTTTGTGGGTGAAAGAGGCGTCAATCGGGTATTCTGATCTGAATCTTAATTCCAACAAATCTTTTGCCATCAATCAGTGTACAAAAATAAAAGGCTATCGGTCTTGAGAAAAATGCAAAATTACCTTGTATTCCGGATTATCTATTTTGCAAAGGAGCTCCATGCCAAAAGCCTAGATGAATGGAAAAGGAAACAAGGATTGAGAACCAAAAGTAAATGAGTTCCAAAACAAATTAGCAGTGAAGAGTAAAAACATGAAAGGCAAACAGCATATTTCTGTCCAAACTCCTCTGACCTTCTCATAAAAAGTTATGGATCGATCAAGATCACCCACACGAAGCATAACTTGACACAAGGGCTCTGGGGTAGGCCCCCTTTCCAAAAGTTCAAACTTATAACCATCAGGATCTTCAACAAATGCGATTACCGTATTGCCCCCTTTGACCGGACCAGGTTCGCGAGTAACCTTACCACCCTTAGCTTTTATAAGCTCCACAGTCTTGGCAACCTAACCACAATAACATACGTAAGGTTGTAGAAGATGTCCTTTAAGAACAGACAATCCCGAACAGTCTACAAAACTAGTAACAGGAGAATACCAATTCTCATAAAATTTTGCCGCATCAGGCATGCTTAAAGAACAAAATTTAACAAAAAAACAAATGACTTACATCCTCAACAGCAATACCAAAATGACCAAATGCAGTTCCGATATCATACTTGTCAACTCCATAATCTGGAAGTGCCATCAAATGAAATGAACATCAATCGTATGAATTTACTTTTAAGGAAAAGTGCTTATGGAAGTAGTTCAAAGAAGGTAATGCTTTCATTTTGGGAAAAAATTGATGAAAACTAGTTGGATGTCTTACTGTAAGTGAGTTCAATAACAAAGTGGGAATCCTCTGGCCCGTATCCAAGAAAAGCATTGGTGTATCTTTCCTCGGGTATGTCACGTTTTCGCAACAATTTCATTCCCAAGCATTCTGTGTAGAACCTGCGGGGCACAACACATATCTATGTTTGAACTCTGCGTTGTCTCATTCTAATCATATGAAAACAGGACATAGTATATCAAATCAACAGGATGGTTCAAGATGTATTGAGCAGACATACTTTATGGTCCTGTCCAAATCTCCAACGCGGTAAACAACATGGAGCATCCTCCGCTTGTCCTGTTTGACCCACTCAAGGACATTTTCGGGGGAAGCTGTCGTGCTAGCTTGTGCAGCATTTCCAGCAGCAGCCACCCCCGTGGTTTTACCATCTCCTCTCAACAGCTTAGAAGCTTTCAGACCGACAGACGGCGACTGAGGCACAGCTGCTATACAATTCAAAATTATCAAGCAGGTCGAAATGATCACAAAACCTTATCAAATCACATTGTCAATGCCGTAACTTGATTGTCAAGAACAAATACAGCCTCAGCAATTAAATCCTAAACTTTCTATAAAATTTCCAATCAAGTACTTCCACACTAATCAAATTACGCATATATACAACCAAATTACCATCCCCACAACCCCAATTCAACCAAAAATCGACGAATTCAGATCAAAAGACAGCAAATTTAGGATTTAACACAAAAGGGTAAGGAGAAAAAGGCAGACTTCGTATATATATTTACCACTAGCGAGTTGGAAGCAAGCGAGTCGCCGTGAAGGAGTGAAGGAAGCGAGGGAAAGTCCCAGACGAGAAGCTCCGGCGAACCTCAACGTCGAGAGCGAAGGTCTGATTGAAGACGCCATGGGAATTATCCCCACCATCTCTCTCTCCTCTCTCTCTCTCCTTCCTCTGTGAGCGTGAAGATTTTTTTTTTTTTTTTTTTTTGGGGAAAAAAGGAGGAGAGGGAATAAAGAAGGCCTGGAGCCGGAGGTCTGGTGACTGGTGGAGTGAAGTGAGAGAAGTATTGCCGCTTTGTATTCCGATTCGATTGCCATTTTTTGGAGATCCAACGGTCGTGGACGAGGTTGGCTCTGATATTATATGCGTCCCCCTTGTGGGGTAGGGTGGAGCTACTTCTGGTTTGTTTTCAATTTGGGCCCAGCCCAAGGCCCAATAAATTTTCAAGTGTAATGTTATTAAGAACTTGTGTGCGAAAAGCACACACATGAACATGTATAGGAAGCCTGATTAATTTTATTGGGCTCCAACATTGAGCATTTGACTCAACTAATACCATTTTTTTAACAAATTTATTTACCATCACAGAGTAAAGGAAAATTTCGAAACTGTTACATTAATGTAGAATATAAGAGTGTTTTAAAACCGAGACTGCAAAACACATGAGTAGAAACTTAATACCATATTTATGACGATATTAGAGCACATGTCTTGACTCAACTAATACACATGACAACATTTACTTAAAAAATATAGTTAAAAGATCTGCACCTTTAAGCTAATATATAGCTAAAAGATGGATGTGTGTTGGTAAAAACATTTGCTTTTACACTCAAGGTTTTATTCAAATTCATCTCTCAGTAGTTTAAATGAATTCGTGTAGATCCTGTTAACAAATTTTTTAGGTTTAGCATGATCTACCATCCTATATCACCGATATTGTCTCAACTTAACCATCTACTGCTGGGTATTGAATTTTATCACAAAAAATTTCGGTAATGTCATTAGGTATAGAAACTCTTATATAGTAAACTCTCTCTCGTTGTACCGAAACCGAAATAGAGATACGATTTAAACTACCAGGTGCAAAATTTGTGTATTAATTTTACATGTCTGATGGAGATCCTATTCTCCAACCCCTAAAATTATATTGTTTGTGAAAAACAAGTGACGTACGTCCCATGCAATATGCATGAGTTAAGACCGACCAATGAGCAAGAAACACGTACATGCATATATCGTATAACATATATGTACATGCAGATGTTGATCTAAGTAGCTAGGTCATGGCTGTGGCCATAAATTTAAGTTGGGGTGGGAATTGTGGGGTTTAGGGTTTGTCCAAAGCTGATGTGATACACGCAGCAAGATGGTACTCTGATGAGGATTGACATCTACCCTGGAGTTTTATGTTCGAAGCTTGTGGATCTAGAGGATCAGGACATTTGAATTTTAATTTTACGACCACTATTGACTTATTCTATTAATTCACTTCACAAAAAATTCAAAAAATTGAATAACCTATATCACCTTCTCTCTCTTAAACGTTCCACATCTCTTGATCGACAGGCTCCAAGAAATCTAGAGCGAATCTCATTCCCTCTCATGAGTCACGGCTCTGATCACTTCCATTGCACGGAATGGTAGGTCACTCATCTGATCTCCACCACCATTGAAATTGACGCTGACTCGCAATTTAGTCACAAGACTCACACAACCCTACCCAAACTATGTCATAAAGTCTCCGTCCCACAATTTAGACATGTCTAGTATTATCAAAATTCTTTATATCACGTTTGACTTTTAGCATACATGGATACCTAAATTATCTAATCAACTTTTTAATATGTCGATACGTGTCGCAATTGACATGTTATTTAGAAATGTCATTTGTGCTTGCTTAATAATACATCGATCATTTGCGTTTTTACTTTACTTTGTTAGAGAGTTTCGAATACTGAACGTTGCGTATTCCTTTATTAATCAACCTACTCTCACCGCTAGCGGCTGAACAATATGTGCTTATGGTAAAGCGTATACCATGTTTAGGGAAGAACTGCCGATTATTATCTATTTAATCTAATTGAAAATCATGATGACAACTTTATTACAAAACCCTATTTAATTTGTTACCTGCTGAGTGTTCACTCATTCATTTGTACTTGTCCCTTTCTTTATAATTTTTCTTCCCACATAAAGTAAAGTAAAAGAACATTAAGAGGCCACGCCATCCACAGCTGCACATTTACCCTTTTTTCTGGTTGCTCCACCATTTTCCCACGCCCACAGGAATGCGATCATGATCCATGTTCTCGTCTTAAAAGTATAGGCTAAAAAGCAGAAGCAGCGTCACACAATTTCTTGTTTTTATAATGTGCACGTAACTTATAAGCTCACCACAGAAACATTTACATGGTTTACTTGAACATATCATGAAGAATCACGATGCAAGTAAAGCAAAGAATTTAGTTCTTATCACTTGCTTGCAAGCAAAGTCTAAAAAGGGAACAAATCGCAAATCTCACGTAGTCAAGTTGGTTAAGGTAACGTGTCATCTTATGCACAAGTTCACATTTTTAGTAGTTTAGATTAGATTATAGCTAGTATCACTTGAATAAAAGAAAGATCATACCATTTGTTTGTTTGTTTTTGTCGAAGCATGAGGTATCCCACACTCGGTAGTGTATAGGACTAATTTTAAATGGGATTTGAAAAGGCTAAAGGCATTTCTGCCCACCTTTAGTCACATTTAAACTACACACGAATTTTTAATTTTTTTCAAAAAGAAACTAGCTAACGGCTTAGTTACTACAGTCTATTATTCTGGAACCTGAAAAAAAATTAATGAAGGTTAATTCAAGGGTGCATGCATATCTTTTTGAAGTGATGGGCCACTAGGGAAAGTTTATGTGATTACGAGTGAACGTGGGAGGCTTTCTCATTCAAAGTATGGAAGATAGTCATATGCATACACACTTTTGTAAAAGCATAATTCAATTATTGCATGAAAAAAGAAAGCTAAGTGTGACAAGGGACGCATTCTACAAAGTCGTTTTCATTTCCCATAGAACCACTAAATTTTTAGTTTACAGATCATATTTTGTAAAAGTGGTACTGACGGTTGATTGTTGAATTCCTTGTTTAAATAATTAAAAAAAGAATACAATCAACAACCGTCATATCATGTGATCTTCAAAATATAATTTAAGTAGATGATCTCTCAACATCATTCTTAATCTACATATGCAAGAAAACCTAGAGAATGGTCGCATCATTTTTCATCTATCATTTTAATTATATATAGAAAAGAATTTTTATGAATTATTATGAGAAAAAAAAAACTAATATTTTTACAAGACAACACTAAGTTACAAAGATAAGATTTGAAAAATGTTAGGCATTGTCATGACCAATAAGTTGGATTGTCGGAATTATTATTAAAGTTTGAAAATTTTCATTTTTTCATGATTGGACGCTGTTTGGCACACACTCTCATGACTAGACACCATTTGACACCATTTACTAACAAATTTATTAACAATTAACCTAACAGAAGTATGACCATGGAAGAAAAACGTAACTTTAGGTATGAAATTGAAATAGAAAAAATTTAATGAATAAAAGTTAAAAAAATGCGATACTTTAAGATAGTGAAGTGATTATTACTCTAATTTTACTTTTCCAAACAAACATACAATAAAAACATGAAAGTGAACAACATTTCCCGTCACGGCGCGTGGAAATAGCATCGTCCACAAAAACACATGCAGTGACATTTGCATAGGCCAACACTGACACGTGACACCGGCCTAATCCGTAATCCGCAACCCGCGCCCCCACCACGCCCTGTCCCCACGCGCCTTCCCTTTCCCTCTTCCCCCGATCCCAAACTCTTCCCCAAAGCAAAAGCAAAGTACCTGCTGAGTGAGTCACTCAAGCAAACAGATTTCTGGGCTTCCTCTGCAGAACCCAACTCTCTGTTTTCCAATATTTCACGATTCAGAAGTGCTTTTCCAGAAGTGCGTTTACTTGCTTCTATTATTGCTGTATTTTATTGTAACGGTTGTTGTGAGACGCACAGTAGATCAAGAACGTCGCTTTCCAATTTGCTGTACAATATCTAACAGTTTGAATATCTCATAAAGGCTTTGGAAATTAATACTTTTGGGGGGGTCGGTTTCCTTTCATTCTCTGAAAGTGTAGTTTTCTGGGCAGCTGTGGAAGATAAGGCTGGAGAAAAATCCAACAAAATCATATTTATTTTGCTCGAAGAAGCAGAGGAAGCAGAGTCATTGATCTCGTTCGAACTCGAAAGCTCGAAACTGATGAATTTTCAGCTAAATTTGGCAACTGGCTTCGATTCAATTTGCATTTCTGAATCATGGGTTGTATAGTGATTGAGCTCGTTCAAACTCGAAGCTGATGAATTTTCTGGTAAATCGGCATTTGGGTTCCCTTCGATTTGCTTTTTCGAGCGATGGGTTGCAGAGTGATTGAGCTCGTTCGAACTTGAAACTGATGAATTTTCAGGTAAATTTGGCATCTGGGTTCGATTCAGTTTGTGTTTTTGAATGATGGGTTGTGTGTATTCGAGAGTTTGCATTGGAGAGGTTTGTTCTCCGAGAGGTCCGAAATTGAAAGAGAATCAGGATGTGAGGAGAGCTGAGATCCCAGTGTTCTCTCCTACTTCCTCCAATGGAGAAGTGGGTGAGCTTCAAGACCAGTTCAACCAGTCTAGCTTAACTGGGGATGCTGAGGTGGGTATCACTAGGCTCCGTAGGGTTTCATCACAGTTTCTGCCTCCCAATGGGTCAAGAACTGTCAAGGTTCCTTCGGGAAACTTCGAAATGCGGTATTCTTATTTGTCTCAGAGAGGTTATTACCCTGATGCTCTTGATAAGGCTAACCAAGATAGCTTTTGCATCCACACGCCATTCGGGACAAATCCGGACGACCATTTCTTTGGGGTCTTTGACGGTCATGGAGAATTCGGAGCTCAGTGTTCGCAGTTTGTGAAAAGAAAGTTGTGTGAGAATTTGCTTAGGAATAGTAAGTTTCAAGTGGATGCTGTCGAGGCATGCCATTCTGCGTTTATTGCAACCAATTCTCAGCTGCACGCTGACAGTTTGGATGATAGCATGAGCGGGACAACTGCAATTACAGTTTTGGTTCGAGGTAGGACAATCTGCATTGCGAATTCGGGTGATTCAAGGGCTGTTATAGCAGAGAGGAAAGGGGATGACATCGTGGCTGTGGATCTTTCAATTGATCAAACCCCATTTAGAGTGGACGAGCTCGAAAGGGTTAAGCTTTGTGGTGCAAGAGTTCTTACATTGGATCAGATTGAAGGGCTGAAGAATCCAGATGTGCAGTGTTGGGGAACCGAAGAAAGCGATGATGGTGATCCACCTAGATTGTGGGTGCCAAACGGAATGTATCCTGGAACAGCTTTTACGAGGAGTATTGGTGATTCGACTGCTGAGACAATTGGGGTTGTTGCCAACCCTGAAATCGTGGTTTTAGAGCTTACACAGAATAATCCTTTCTTTGTGCTTGCTAGTGATGGAGTTTTTGAGTTCCTTTCTAGCCAAGCTGTGGTGGATATGGTAAGGTATCCTGCTTTCTCTTTGTTGCAATTCAAGTGTGGAATCTGTTAGACTTATTTATCTCTGATTATTCGACGCTTATAAGTTCGTTGCCACTGTTTATGATTGTTTGTTTGCTTTCTTATTGTTGCGCATGACGAGTTTAGTTTGGTTAAGTATTTCTTCATGGTTTTTTCTATTTTTTCACTTCTCTTGATTCTGTTACTATATTTACAGGTTGCAAAATTTAAAGATCCCCGTGATGCTTGTGCTGCAATTGTAGCTGAATCATATAAACTCTGGCTGCAATATGAAACTCGTACAGATGATATTACAGTGATCGTTGTGCATGTGAATGGGCTGACTGATGTAAGAGGACTTGCTGTCCAAACAATGACGTTTTTTGTGCATTGTCTTCATGTAAATATGATTTGCTGAAATGTAGTCAACTAATAATGTCTTTTTATTATAGACGTCCATCGGTCAATCAGTAAGCCGTGCTGCTGCATTACGACCAACTGTTCCTCAAGTTGTAGAGGTTACAGGATGCGAATCTCCTTCACCCACTGGGTGGAACTCTAGCAACCAGCGCACCAGACATGATTTGTCAAGGGCACGCCTTCGTGTGATTGAGAGTTCTCTAGAAACTGGGCAAATTTGGGTTCCTCCACCTCCATCCCACAGAAAGACTTGGGAGGAAGAAGTATGCTTTCTGTTTGTTGTGATTTGTATGAAAGAGCGGAAATGATACCAATTTCTTTACCGCAAGTTCTTACTTTGAAAATTTTCTTGTGGTAAATAGGCACACATTCAGCGGGCTTTGCACGACCATTTCCTCTTCAGAAAGCTCACTGATTCTCAGTGTCAGGTGTTATTGGATTGCATGGAAAGGGTTGAGTTCCAGCCTGGAGATGTTGTTGTTAGACAGGTTCGTTTTCTTTAATTTTTCCTTTTTCTTGTTTATAGTGATAGCCTTTCATAGCTCTTGCGCATAATTGTAGTGCTTTCGGCAGAGTCATGAGTGGCAGACATGGACTTATGACATCACCAATCTGAAAAGAATTAATATATGTAATAGACTATCAATTCGGGTGTAGTTGAAATTTACTTGGAATGCTTTTACAACAGCAGGATTCAGGATCGTAAACTTCTACAGAAAGAAGAAAATAGTATATACAAACTCATGCTTACCCTTATGGCCAAGAAATTTATTTAACTAAAACAGACTTATTTACAATTTATGTAACTAATTTACTGTACCTCCTGCCTAGTAAATGAGTGGGCCGTATGGTTGCAATATTGGTTTAATTTTTGAAATTACATTTACAATGCTGATCCATTGCCAAAAACAGCCTACAGACTCCATGTACAAAATATAGAGAAGTTAAATGTTACGATTGTGTGGTTATATTACTTGTAACAATTGTATTTTGTAGGGTGGTGAAGGTGACTGCTTTTATGTTGTTGGCAGTGGAGAATTTGAGGTGTTGGCGACCCAGGTTTTAAATATATCCTTTTTCTACTTGAAATTCATTTGGGTCATTTTCATGAGACCCCACAGCTTTTTTGTTGACTGGAACGATCATGGCAGGAAGAAAAGAATGGAGAGGTTCCGAGGGTTCTGCAGCACTATACAGCTGATAACCTGTCATCCTTTGGAGAACTAGCGCTAATGTGAGTTAATTATTTCTACCTTTTTTATCTGTTGGTTTAGGAAATGGTTGTTTAGGCTTTCCTTGGTCCATCTGATTCCCCTTGTAATAGTGCATCGTATGTTTTTCTAATTTCTATTTAATTGATTCTGGGATATATGGTACTACAGGCATAACAAACCACTGCAGGCCTCCGTTCGTGCAGTGACCAGTGGAACTCTTTGGGCTTTGAAAAGAGAAGACTTTCGTGGAATTTTAACGTCAGAGTTTTCTAATTTGTCATATTTGAAGTTGCTTCGATCAGTGGATCTTCTATCAAGGCTGACAATCTTACAGCTGAGCCATATCGCTGATTCTCTGTCTGAAGTTTCCTTTTCAGAAGGCCAGACAATAGTCAGTAAGGTACTTTATTTTCGTTAAGAATATCATTTACTCTTTATTCCTATATATAATGTGTATTTCACACGTATATGCAGAGTGAAGACCTAGTTGGATTATACATTATCCAGAAGGGAAAAGTGAGGATTACTTGTGATGCAAATTCAGCTAGTAGTTCAGTTGTCCGGAGTCTCAAGTCTGACTATCAAAAAGAAGATGATCATCCTCAGAGCAGTAAAGAGCTCTCAGTGGAGAAGACAGAGGGAAGCTGCTTTGGTGAATGGGCACTTCTAGGAGAACATATTGATTTGTTTAGAGCAGTTGCTGTGGGAGATGTCACCTGTGCTGTTTTAACAAAGGAAAATTTTGATTCAGCCGTTGGCCCCTTGACAAAGATTTTTCAGGATGATCAGAAGTATGTTACTCTGGAAGTCTCAGTTCATAAATTTTACTAATCTACCTTTTTGAAGTCCATGGTTAACACTGGAACTCTCTAATGGCATATGACAGTTTCTTAAAGTTATTTTTTTATTAGACAGGATATCTCATGACTGTTGCATATTTCTGATGCTGTTGGTTGATGTCATTTGTAGGTCGAGGGATTATTCTTCAGAAGTTCCAAAGGAATCTGCCAAGAATATTGATATGTCTGCTCTTTCTGACGTCCAGTTGTCTGATCTAGTATGGAATTGAGTGTCCTGCTTGTTTATACGTTTCTGAGTTTCTAAGGATAAATGCTTAATTGAGTTATTTTGTCATTCATTGACGCTATATATTTTTCCATTTTAGGAATGGAGAACAATTTTGTATAGCACTGACTGCAGTGAAATTGGAGTTGTTCGTTTAAGAGATTCAGGTTGGTTGTTTGTGTTTTAGGGTTCGTGTCATTTTTTGGTTTTATTTTGTTAGATTGGGCTTCTACATGATGCAGGATTTATGTTGAAGTAATAAATGATGTATCATTTGTTAGACAAAGAAGTCGATAACATATACTGCATTGAACGGGGGAGACCAACTAGTAGATGCAACATTTTGAGAAGAATTTATTTTTGTTTAAAACAGTACATAAGCTGACGGGAATTCTTCTTGTTAAATCTTTTTGCCTATCAGAAAAATTGTTCAGTTTGAAAAGGTTTTCAAAGCAAATGGTCAGAAGGATGGGAAAGGAAGCGCAAGTGTTAAAAGAGAAGGATCTAATCAAGAGTATGAGCTCTTCAGCGTGTGTGCCACAGTTTCTGTGCACGTGTGTTGATCAGACACATGCTGGCATACTGTTTAATACTTGCCTTGCTTGTCCGTTGGCTTCGATACTTCGCACTCCCCTTGATGAACCGTCTGCTAAATTTTTTGCAGCCTCTCTAGTTGCTGGGTTGGCAGATCTCCACAAGGTCCATCGTCTGGAAATAGCTTATTCCACCATTTTGTTTTAACTCCTAGTCCCGTGACTGTTTAAGTAACATCTATCTTTCTCAACATCTCTCATTTTATTTTTCTTTGTAATTTGACTTTCAGAATGACGTTCTCTACAGAGGGTTGTCTCCTGATGTTATAATGTTGGACCAAACAGGATATTTACAGGTTTGTAATGTTTTGTTTTTCATACCGAATCGTGTTCATTCATAGTATCTGGATTGACGCTGGAATAATTGAAGAGGAGGAAGATGAAATATGCTTAGTTACTAAAATTTTGCTATATTGTAGCTAGTGGACTTCAAGTTTGGGAAGAAGTTATCCGGCGAAAGAACATATACAATTTGTGGAATGGTGGACTTTTTAGCTCCAGAGGTAGTCCAGGGAAAAGGCCATGGTTTTCCATCCGACTGGTAATAAGGCTATACATTCTTTGTTTATCCTAAACTAGATATTCTATACATCAATAAAAAAGTTTATGTAGCTTTTCATGAAAATGTGAAATAAATTGTAGAAGTAAATTATTCAGGATTAGACGGTATGGAGGCTTAGAGAATTTGCGAGAAATTCTTGGAAAATGCTTGACAGAAATATTCATACAACACAACAACAAGGCATTATCCCACTAAGTGTTGATATAAAATTCTCGACAGAAATATTCATAAAATTACAAAATCAGTATTAGGATTAATGGTATAGTGAGAATATATGCTAGAGGATTTGAGTGTATATTTGCGAGAAGATGTGATTCTACTAGGAAACCCGGTGAGATTTGCAAGTATCTAGATTTGTTTAAGATCTCTGGAAAAAGTTTTAAGATGGAAACAGACCCCTTCCTTTGTTGGTAACGGTGGAATTATTGAAGTTTTAGGCATTGAGATCTAAGTTGTATATATATTTCATATTGTTTTATTTTATGGTTGTCTTGACAGTATCTTTCTGAGACCTCCTGCAGTCCTGAACTTGTTCTCAAATTTGTAGGTGGGCATTAGGAGTGTTGATATACTTCATGCTACGGGGTGAAATGCCATTCGGCTCATGGAGACAAAGTGAGCTTGATACATTTGCAAAGATTGCAAAGGGACAGCTAACTCTACCGCAAACTTTTAGTCCTGAAGTTGTTGATCTCATCACTAAGGTATTGTAGGAATCTTTAGTCTCTCTCTCTCTCTCTCTCTCTCTCTCTCTCTCTCTCTTAAGGAATTTTCACATGCTTCTATTTATAATAATATGTTCAGTTACTCGAGGTTGATGAACACACCAGACTGGGGAGCCAAGGTTATGAATCTGTCAAAAGGCATCCCTGGTTTGATGGCACTGATTGGGAAGGGATCAAGGACCGTAGTTTGCCCGTTCCTCACGAGATCACCTCTCGCATAACTCAACATTTGGGAAGTCACTCCGAGAACTGTTCTGTTCCTCCAGCTTCTCCATCTCGAAATGGAGAAGAACTCAACACTCCTGAATGGTTTGACGACTGGTAGAAGGATAAAAAATACACGAATTCCCACATTTGTAAAAAATTTCCAGGTGGGGGATCGTCTCTGCTGTGAGATTTGACTCGCAGGACATACAAAACCCAGAGGAAATGCAGAACTTACAATCCTGAGATTCACCTTGCCTGTGGTCCCGTTATATTTTACGTGATTACATAGTAGCTGCATTAGAAGAGCATATCTTCTGGGATCACAGGCCGCTACTGATAGCCGTTTGACTAGTTCATGGAGAGGCCGGTTCATGAATTTTCTGTTCCTTTCACTCTTTTTCTTTTCGGCGAATTTCTCCCCTCTGTAAATACATATATGTGTAGATGAATGAGGGGTAATTCCTTGATGAAATTATACTTTTCCAGTTGTACTTCTGTGGCTCGCGAGTCTCCTGGTATCCATTGTTCTTATCGATTACTATTGGAATTCGCTTGTAACATTTTCTTATGTGTTGTAAATACTTGAATCTCTGATTTATGGAAAACCTTACTGATTGATCTCCAGCAAGTTTTATTAAATCTTGTTCTCATTTTCTCTGATGCTTTGATTGTTCAAATTCTCATATAGCTTGTCAATTTTAAGGGCCAAGGTTTAAAAATGTTTGGTTGTTCGGCCATAGGGTGGGGACACCATCGCGGACTTGGGTAGTGTTGTGTGTGGGGCCGAACATGTTCTTCAACTCTTGACCATGAACTTGCTTCACTTGTTGCAAGTGCCACTTGGAGCTCCAAATGGAACCACAAAAACTCTTGGGTGCTCCGGATGTTTTAATCGTTAAATTTTTAGTTTTGTATTTTTAAATAAAGATATAATGGTTAAAACAACTTAAATATCAGGTACGTTAGAGCATCCTAAAGAACCGACAGAACCAACCTTACCACCTTTAAATGTGGGTCTGCAACATTCATCAACATGATGTGTTTATTTTGTCAAACTAATTCGTTGGTGTTCTTTCTGATTTCTACGTATTTCACCGCTCCATCAGAGATTCTTTCTACCCCTACTGTACTCCAGTTTGGTAGTTTCTACCATCTGCCCAGGATTGAGCCTGAGCTTCAATGGAGGACTTAAAAAAGTCACTTACATACTCTTTATGCACAATTATTGCGAGTAATGCTTGCTTTTGTATGATGTACTTGCATTTATACGGGTTCAATGATTCATGCTATAAATTATCTTGGAGGGTAACAATTTTTGTTTATTTATTTATTTTGTTTCATGAAGAATCTAGTGGAAGTATTTCTTGAAGAAGCACATTGTCCACAAAACATCGAAAATTGCTTTTAAAATCAAGAATCGCTTTTAATTATTTTTGCCAAATATTGCTAAAGCATTTTAGTTATCAAAAAACGCTCTTAACCATTCTAGAAGGATTTTCAAACAAAGAGAAGAGATCACCTATTGGACCCTATTCCAATTAAGAAAGTATCGAAGTACCATCACAAATGGGGTCATCATATATTTATATATTGCAGGAGTTTTTTTTTTAATTATTACTTTTGTTTAAAATAGATAATTGATGGCAAGTCACGGTTGTTCTGAACTTGTTTGGAAATGCTTTTGGTGAATTTTTTAAAAACCAATCTTTAGTAATATGCCAGTGAATCTTGAAAAAATTGTGCTTTTAAGTGTTTTGATATTCAAAAATATTTTATATAAAAACACTTTTAATCATTTTAAAAAAATACTTCAAAACGAATTCTAATCCAATAACTAATTTCATAATATAAGAATTGCAGAAAAATATAAAATAATAATTAAGAGGATCAAGCCGACGACAACTTGTAAGGACAAAAACAAAAAATTAAGATTAATACATAATTAAGATAAACATGCAAAGTTGATTAGTGACTGCTTTCCTTGAGGACAAATGAAGCAGACTAAGCTCTGACATCATTACCACAACCGTGACCAGTAATTTTGTTGACTTTTTAAAAAATAATGATAACATTTCAGGATTCTAAATTTCATGAGAAAACAACAAGTGACAGATGAAAGTTGAATTTTTCCAACCAAAGAGATCAAAATGGTCCGTCCGATGGCTTCAAAGAGCATCTTGTTTAATCTTTTCATCAAAGTCGTTTTCAGATGTGATCATCATTAGACACGATTAACCATGACGTTTTAAGTTTAAGGACTAATTAGATTAATTTACTTGGCTTAAAAATGTGGGAGCTGTAATTTTATAATTTTTTTTAAGTCAACTACAAATAAATTGATGTTGGCTTGGTGTAATTTTAGGAGGAATTAGAAAGAGACTCTAAGAAAATACAAGGAGTACTTAGTTAACAAAAGACCTAGCGCAAAACTGAATGCAGTGACGTTTTAAGATTCATACAGTAAAACTCCACTTAGTGAAGTAAGGCTTTGTTGTTGTTGGTTTGTGTAAATTTAGGTGGCTAACAATTTCATCATTATTTCATCAAAGAGTTTGATATATAAAAAGAGATTTCAATCATTAATTGTTGAAACTGAGGGAAATAGCATGATTTTTGTTCATGGAACAAGGGTGGTTTTCTTGGAAAAAAACGAAGTTCGAAGTCCACACCATGTAGATTAGAGTAGTTTGTGATATCGTCTTGTCAAAGTAAAAAAAATGGACTCAAGAAGTTGGTACTTGAAATTTGATAGCAATTATATTGAACTAGTGAATAAAGTACCTAAAATCTATGGAAACTGAAAGCATGAATTGATACCAAAATCATCATACATCTAAGGGCTGTGGACACCTTTTCTCTCTATTGGCAAACGACTGGACTGTTCTTCGGGCAATCGGCATCCAAAGCCGCCTCATTCTTTCCTCTTTCGCATTGTTTTCGAGCAGTGAAGGCTCTCTGGTCCTGTCCTTGGAGCCCAAGTTCCCAAATCTCGGAAGAGCAGTGATTTCGGACATTGATCTTTTCCCTCCTAGATTCGTAGAACTCAAGGCATGAGCTGAAGTTGCTGTAGTATCTGATGTAGAGGGAACAACTGACTTTGTAGCTGGACTGTTTTTGTTCATTGTGCTAACTTTGTTCTCAATCAATCTTTTAATCTCCATCTCCTCCCTGATCTTCATAATCTCCTCATTTCCCGTTGCTTTCGCGGTCAAAAACTGCTCATCGTTTAATTTTGTGGGAGAAAATCTGTTGCTTGACACCGTGTTGAGCATCTCCGAATTCAAGAACATAAGATCAGATGGACTCAGATTGCTCCATCTGTTGTTGAACTCGAGAGCAGAAAAAAGAATCTTGTGTTTATGCTTGTGCAGGATTTTGTCATCCTCTTTTGTCACATCACTACGAGCAGCTTCTTCCTTGATTAACAATTCATCTTCCTTCTCAACCACGTTTTTGCTTTTTCGAAAGCTGCGTCCTACGCTGAATCTTGAAGAACCGCAGCGATCTTCCTCTCTCTGAACAAAGAGATCTATGCTCGAGTCATGTTGATTCTCTGATTGGTTATTCGACAAGACCCTCATGCTATTTGAGAAGGTATCGAATGTAAGATCCTCAGAGCTAACCCTGTGCCGGCAGAGAGGACAGCTCGAGTGCTTTTCCAGCCAGTGATCAATGCAGCTGATGTGAAAAGCATGCTTGCATTTTGGCAGCAATCTAAGAATCTCAATATCTTCAAATTTCGATAGGCAGACTGCGCATTCGAGACCTTCCTTTGACCCTTTGAGAGAAGAGAATCTGAAAAAGGGAAGTGCCTCAATCGCTGTCTTGTCAATCCCAGAGAACCGAGAACTACTACTCATAAGTCCTGTTTCCAGGAGACTGTTTTGTCGAACAGGAACTCTTCTATAGCAGTATTTGGCATACACTAGGAGCGCAAAAGTTAACGAAAACATGATAGATAGAACACCGATAACCATATGAACACCTAATTGATATTTATTTCCTTCATCAGAAGACGCATCTGGGGCTTGTGATTCAACATGGAAGACCACACAGTTGAGAAGCAAAACAAACAAGCTTGAATGAAACATTGGAAGATCGAAATATTGACAACCCAAAATTTTAATCATCTTTTCGAAGCATTCTGCAAACGAAAAAAGGAACTATATAGACATATATGCTTGTGGGAGAAATTGAAGTTTAATTGAAATATCAATCTGGTTTGTAATAGTTCAGCTTTCTTGGTTTCTTCTTTGGCAGTTCTTGTGTGTCCTAATTCGATAAGTTATTTTCATATTGCAGTATATTAGGGTTTAGACAACTGTGGCTTCTTATAGATTTTCTTTTGGAATCATCCTACACTATAAATACAATCACCAGCTGCCACATGACATCAGTCATGTTAATACAAACCATTAAGCTAATGCAGTCATTAGCTCGACGGGTGAAAACCCGTTGCACAAATTGAAATTTTCGTTACGAGCTTTAGAGAATTTTTGTGATGGAAAAGGAGGAATATGCCTGTTAGGAAAAAGAAAACATTAATATATCACGTTGAGATAAGCTAATGCAGTCGTTAGCACGCAGGGTGAAAACCGCTTAAAGAGATTGAAATTTTTGTTACGAGCTCTCGCAGGTAACTTGTCACCTCTATGTTTCAGTTCAGTTTTGTATGTGATTTATTTGTCTTCTAAAAATTTTGGTACTGTCTTGCAGTTATCCAAATTCCTTTCTTGGCAAAGAAGCAATATGTTCTCGAAGCAAAAGCAAACGACAACATATAATTTCATTGATTCAAGAAGTTGATATCTGTATAAGACTTCTGTTGACATCTATAGAAGCTACATGTGTCCTTAAAATTTTAGAACGATGTATTGTTACAAAGGAATCGAAAAATAAAACAGTGTTGAAAGTGCGTGTATTCCTCTAAAACTTCGAAACAAACTACCTAAATCCTATGAAACCTAAATCTTCTCTTGATCCAACTTATACATCTAAAGGCCGTTGAGGCTGTGGAGACCTTTTCTCTCTGTTGGCAAACCAGTGGACTGTTCTTCTGGCAATCGGCAACCAAAGCCGCCTTGTTCTTTCTTCCTTCGCATTGTTTTCAAGCAGAGAAAGCTCTCTAGTCCTGTTCTTAAAACCAAAATTCCCAAATCTCGAAAGACCAGTGATTTCAGGACATGGATCTTTTCTCGCCTTGATTCACAGAACTTGAGGCATGAGCTGACGTCTCTATGCTATCTGAAGCAGAAGGAACCAAAGCTGAACTATGTTTGCTCATTGTACTAAATTTGTCCTCAAACAATCTCTTCATCTCCATCTCCTCCCTAATCTTCACAATCTCCTGATTTCCTGTTGCTTCCGCAGGCGAAAACTGCTCATCCTTTAATTGTCTGAAAGAGAACCTATCGCTTGACATCGTGTTAAGCATTTCAGAATTCAAGAACAGGAGGTCAGAGGAACTCACATTGCTCCATCTGTTCTTAAACTCAAGATCCGAAACAACAATTTTGTGCTTGTGCTTGTGCAGGATCTTCTGACCTCCTCTGTCACATCAGCAACTTCTTGGATCAACAGTTCCTTATCAATCGCATTTTCAACTTTTCGAAAGCTGCTTCCCACACTGAATCTTGAAGAACCGTGGTGATCCTCCTCTCTCTGAACAAAGAGCTCTATGTTCGAGTCCTGGCGGCACTCTGATTGATTAATCCATCTCATGCTGTTTGAGTAGGTAATGGAAGTTAAGTCCTCGGAACTAACCCTGTGCCTGCAGAGAGGACAGCTCGAGTGCTTTTCAAGCCAGTGATCAATGCAGCTGATGTGAAAAGCATGTTGGCATTTGGGAAGCAGCCTGAGGATTTCATTATCTTCGAATTTCGACAGACAGACTGCGCATTCGAGGCCTTCTTTCGACCCTTTCAGTGAAGAAAATTTGAAAAAGGGAAGGGCCTCAATCACTGTCTTGTCAATACCGGAAAATCGAGCACTTGCGGTGACAAGTCCTGTTGCCTGGAGATGGTTGTTTCCTACCACATAAGCCCTTCCGTGGCAGAATTTCACATATACAAGGAAGAAAAAAGTCAGTGCAAAGAAGATTGCTAGAACTCCAATCACCAAAGCAACACTTGGTTGAAAGTTTAGTTGTTCATCAGTAGAATATTCTATGCCTGTAGGTTGTGCTTCTACATGGAACACCAGAAAATTCAGAAGCAAAAAACCAATCAAACTTGAATGAAACATTGGAAATTTGAAATTTTGAGACTGACCCAAAATTCTAATCATCTTTGGAAGCTAGAAGGAACTATAAATATACATATATATATGTATGTATGTATATGTGTGTATATATAGATATATGGTTGTCGAGGAGTTGAGGTTTAGGGGAAAAGGGTGGAAATGTCTGTTCCTGGAAGGGTATTTATCAATCTGGTTTCGTGATGTGTTCGTTTTCTGTGTAACTTCTTGGATTGTTCATGTCTGTCTAATTTGATAAAACCATTTTTATAGTATTGGAGTTTATTAATTATTAATTAATAAGATAATTGAGAGTTGAGCATGTAAACAAATATTGCTTCTTATGTCAGGCTACATTATTTATATAAGCACCACCTGCAACATGACATCAATTATGTTAAGACAAATCATAAACTAATATGTTGCATATACACGACGGGTTAAACTCCGACTAAAAGAAAAAAAATGCTAGTCTCACCAGTTTACACATAAGTTTCTTATAATGTATCAGCGATTGAATATTATTACTCACAATTTATCATTAATTTACAGTTATTCATGTTCGTGTGAACAACTGATGCTAATTTAACTCGACTAGTAAGGTGAAATTTTGTTACGAGGTTCACATGTAATTTGTTCCCTCCATTGGATTACTTTGTCTTCTCAAAAGTTTAGCAATGAGACTACTAATTTGTGATTTGACTAATTTTAAAGAGTTTATTAGGGTTTTTAACTGGAGTATGAAAGTCAAAGTTCTTAGTTGCGTATGGTACATGCAAATAACCTGAGAAAGTCAAAGGGTTGAGTTGTTGAATCGAGCTTTGCTGACCTCATTGCATAGAGCATCAATTAGGGATGAAACTAACTCAAATATTGCTTTTTGTGTTTTCTAACTACAACCTTGAACAGGTCTGAATTTGATATTGAGTTGACATTCCGGTATAAACAAACATAGCGTGCAGGAAGAGAAAACGGAAGTGAAAACCACAGTTCGAAAAAAATACTGTTGAGACTAGTTTAGCTCTTTATTCGACAAAATTGATGATAGAATTCTTTACTATTTTGCATCACGTAATTACACCTTGACGAATGTGTTTAGTTTTCAATTAATTACGAAGAAGAAGGGCAAACATCCTGTCAAAGATTTACAATTAAGTTTTCTAATGTAAGCATGCAGATAAATTAATGAATTAAAAAAAAAAAACTAAAGCCAAGTATTTACTACCATGTAGTGATCTTCACTTTCTCGTTTTCTTCATTTGCACCTTTGTGTGTTTTCGTTTTAATATTTTGATTCTCTTTTGAATAATATAATTTAATGGCTATGAAGAAAAATAGGAATGCTCAGAGATAGAAGGTATGCTCCGATTGTGGGATATTGTTGGTTGAGAAGAGGGACCTATTCAAGGTTGTTGACGGCCAAGTCCTTAGGATAATTCCACCAAACTGAGGGCTTTGTATATGACCGTATCCCCTTAGAACACAGAGAGAATTACAACCTTTCCGAGGCCCCTAAAAAAAAGTCAAAAAATCGGTCAAAAAAATAAAGGTGCGTAAATCATTTTCCTTCTTTCATAAACAAGAGAAATGCTTTGTCGTTGCCAGTAATTAAACAATTCTTTATATTTTATTTCCAAAAAAATACAATTTCTCAGAGAATCATTTTCGTAACATAGAAGCAACAAATCCGCCAGTGTTTCCATCATGTTACATGGAGGATGGTGAGTGAACAGAAAAATCCAAGAGTTAAATGATACAAATTAGCAGCTCAACCCTAACCTAAGTGTTGACTCTTAATCCATGAATTCTCCATTTGTAAAGTGTCTGTAGATTGCTAATCTGAAACTAATAAGAATCATTAATCAACTAATCATCTTTGCAGGTTTACGTATACAAGTTTTCGGTTTTTGTATTTTCCGGTATTATACGTATATATATCACAAAATAGAGTAGAACTGAAATACTTGGCCTTCATATCACAATAGAATAATGATGGAATATTATTACATACACCTGCAATTCCTGATTGCAGCAGTTGAGAGAAAACTGAGAGGAACTGAAGAAGGTTATTACTACACAAGCACAAAGACGAGTTAAGCGTTCAAAAACATCGCCAGGATTTCCAGACCGAGTGTAAATATTTATTAGTCTGGTTAAACGTACTGCGAACATGGTACAGAATCAGGTCTGAGCCGAGGCAGCGGGATTGCCATTTGGAAATGTTGCCAAACCAGTGCCGCTTTCTGGATTAGAAGGCTCTTCGCTTGCATGACGAACAAACTCTTCAGGGGACATGTGCAAGCCATGGCAAGCACAAACTATTCTGATTTGGTTTGTGCTGTATCGGTAAGTTACACCAGAAATTGTCTTACCATTTGGGCCTTGACCTTTGGTAGAAACCCATGGCAGATTCGGGGAGGAACCAGATCCCTCAAATTTTATGTCTGCAGCAATACCTGGCTTTATAGATGAAAAATCAAGAGATAAGTCCTCTGCCGTTGGGCGGTCAGGTACCTCTTTCATCCTGAGGTTCGCGCTGCTTATTTTTGTGTCTTCTTCTGCCTGAGAAGATGCATCCTCTTCAGTGACATTCTTTTTGCCATCACCTCTTGCCCGTTCTAACATCCTCCCATCATATTGTGCAATATCAGATGAATTATATGAAGCGACATGCATCATAGCTGCATCAGCACAAGGAGGATAAAAATCTGTTCTCAACCATCTGGACTTAAACCATACTGAACAGATCACATTCAACCGGAGAAGAAAAAAAAAGTATCACTAATATTATTTTCTTTTGGTCAAGTATCACTAATAATATCAGTATAATTTTTGACAAAAGAACACCCCCAGAGTGCTATTCATGTATGGAAATGGAAAATATCTATCAATAAGATATAACATATCCAACATAAAGAGATGCATCCAATACGTTTTATAAAACAGATGAGTACACCACAACCGTAAGGTGTTTCCATGCTCTCTAGTCCAACGTGCACAAAGAAGTTCCAATCCATATTATTGTTACCTGAGTTTGGAGGATTTCTGCCAGCATAGGCAGGATGGAATTGTTGAGTATGAGGAATCGCACCCCAGGCATTATCTTTATCCAACATTGGGAGCTGGACAGGTGAATAGCCAAACATAACTGGCAAGTTTTTAGGATTCACAGGTTGAGTCCCTGTTCGCTCACCAGTAACCGTAGGCATCGCCTGCATCATCCCATGCATTGGATGTCCTGATGTGGTGGTCGCACCAACTGAATTAGATTCCTTTGTCGGGAGAGAATAAGGCATGTTCAGCATCTTTACTGATTGCACTGAGAATGGACTCCCATACGCCATATTCCCAAGCTTGTATTCATTTTCTGATGAGATATTGAACCCCTTCTGTCCATTTAGGTCCACAACCTTGGAATCAGCAAACCTGCAAACTTCCTTCTGAGCATCAGAAGAGTCACCAGATCCAACAAATCGCTTGGCACCCTCAACATGTTGAGAAATTGGCACTGAGGATGAACCCTCCACTTCAGAATCTGCCACGTCTTCATTTTCAGCAGTTGAGCCATCTTCTGTAATGGAAATGTGTGATGCTCTTGTCTTGTCATGCATATCAGAGTAATGAGCTTCTCTCTCATGCTTCTTTTGATGGTTCATCTCGTCAAACAAATTCTTGCGTTTATTAGCAGCTTCAGTCCGTTTTTCCTCCTCTGTTTCATCAGACTTGTTATTGTTTACACCCCAGACTCCTCTCCCGTTCAAGGTTATTGATGCATCAGCATCAACACTGGCCTTGGAAAGGTCATTGAAGAAGTTTTCTTTAGGTTTCACTGAATCACTTCTTTGAGAGCTACTACTAGATTCTTGTTTTTGAGCCCCACCATGAAGAAAGTCCTTAAAATCATCCACTAGTTTGTTGCTTCTATCACCTTCTTCTGCTCTAGCATTTGGGGAAGCACCATTTTTACCCTTGGCTTTGGCAGATGATCCACCAAAAGAGAGACCCAAACTAAGTTCAAGTCCATTATCATCCTCCATTTTTTTTTTTTGGACAGAGAATAACTGTCAATAGAAATCGAGCATAACCCTTACGGATCCTCTATTCTATTCAGAAGATATCCCCAACCACACTGACACCAACACAAAGAGCAATCATTCCATAAAGTAATTCCTGCACAAAAGCAATTTGACAGAGATGAAACCACATCATGGTATGCATTGCAAAGAATAGAACAAAAAGTAAACATATGAAACGATCAAAGCAATCTAAGTATCAACATATAACTAAATGTAGCTTGGTTAGGCCAAACTCTTAAGCATTAACAGCAATTATAACATTGGGGGCGATTCGATCATCTGGTATAGTGGGACTACCACCGAAAGAATGGCTTTTGCAAGTGTTCTAAGACTAGAACATTAGCTATACAACTAGGTCCAAACTTCAGAATGGCAGAAATCGTTAAGGAGGTTCCCAATATCAGTCATATGCAAGCCATAATCAACCATTACAGATATTTGGACAACAATTTAGGAAATCAGTGTATCACAAAGAGAAAGCAATCTCACATTTGCAATGACACTTTTTATTAGTAGAGCTAAACTACAAAAGCACTCAGCAAGTTATGCCGTGAACAACCGAGGATCGAATACATCTACTCTACAATATAAACAAAAATTCGGAGGGATGTGCACCATTAATTCGATCCAAGATCTTAGACTCCATCTAGTAATAAGTACTAATATAACTACGGACTGAAAAAAAAAACAAAAATTTCAATCTCAAATTGTTTCTGATCTTAAAAACAAAATCCATGCAACTGAACCTAACTAATACACAGCACGGCTGAGCCAAAGATTTCAAATTACTGGACACAAAAGCAAAAAGTCACAAAATTTTATTAAGATTTATTTTCCTACGTTTTCTCGGCTACCAAACAATGGAACCCAGATCTGCTCCTCACCCAGATTACCAATGAACGCCTATTTTTCAACTAAATAGGAAATTTTCCCACGAAACCGAAACTAGGAACTTTGAACAATGAAATTAAAGTTCAATTAAACCAATTTACAATCGGATGAGATGGAAAATTAGCTAATGAATGCGATTCGATCCTTTTCTGGACCGATTTCCCAAATATTTCACGAAAAAAAAAAAAGATTAATTAATGATTTAATCAAGCAATTGGAAACTTTAGCATAAAAATACGAAAATACAATGAGGAACACAAAATACGGAGAGAAATAGAGACCTTGATTCGAAGAGAAATGGTGAAGCCCTAAATCGAGCTGCTTGGTGCAGAGAAGAGTGAGGGGCGGAGAGAGATGTAAAATTTGGTACAAAATATAATGGGGAAGAAGATGTTCAAAAACATCTCTTACATTTTTTTTTTTTTTTTTTTTTTGCATTTTATTAAATTTTTTAGCGCACGTGAATATTATGAAAATTATTTTATGTAATTTTCATTGACACAATACTTATTTTATTTTATGTCATCCTAGTTTTTGTGCTGGCCTTGGATTATTTTGATTTGCACCAATAAAAAAATCTGACGCTGTGTTTGAATAAAAAAAATTTAGATTGTTAAGGAATTTTAAAATGAAGGAATTTAGAATGAAGGAATTTTAATTTTAGAATTTGTTTGTTTGGTTGACCTAAAAGAACAATGAAATTTAAGTACAGATTTTGTTTGTTTTTAAATTCTTACGCGGAAATTTTAAATTCTTTTGTTTATGAATCTAAATAAGAGAATTGATGCATGTCACTTTATACGTTCTAACTTCTGTCAAAATTCAAAGTTTATTTTCCTAATCCAAATATAGTGTAAATTGTGCTAGTGGTGTATTGTTGTGGCGGTTATGATCATCTTCCTCGACTCAACTTTCTTTCCTTGCTATAGCTAGTTTATAATTATTATAGTAATGCTTATACTATATCTCACTTATTTGGAGACTGAATAGCGGATTGGTTGATAATGTGCAGGATGAATAAATTTGGAATGGAGACAAAATAAAATGCAAAATTAAAGTTATCTATTTTTTATCTAAGTAAGAGTCGAGACTTAGGATGTCTAGATAGGTCTAGACATTTTTTTCTTTTATGTTGAAGATATCCAAAAACTTTCTAATTTTCAGCTTGGTCTAATAATTTGTACATGCAGGAACTATTTCCTGAACTGAAGGCATTTCTTGGAGGCCCTAACTGTTCCTATCTAATTAAGGGTACATATAGCTTCAGATTCTGTTGGGAACATGTTTAATTCCTTCGTTCTAGTTGTTTAATTAAATTTCAAAAATATAGTTGGGATGCAGGCACTTCAAGAATGGACGGGCTGTTTTGTTGTTGTTCATGTAAGTGTTTTTTTTTTTTTTTCCTTTTTTAATTTTACTTAAAAATGTCTGCATTGTACATCTTTTTAGTCTAAAACATATGGTCGTATCGTCCTGATCTCTCTTAAATGAGTCTTAATTAATTTGCTTGTAAATGATCAGGACGACGTTGTCTTTGCCAAAGGGCTCATTTAATGGACTAAGGATAGTCAGGATGGTTGTGGAAGACTGCTTTGTTTATAAAGTTTCTGCTGAATCCCTTATCGCCAGGGTTACAAAGGAAGGGGGTTTACATGGTTGGAGTGCGATGACTGGTATTCGAGATTTGCATATATGATTTGTTGAGATCTGGATGGGGTTTCTTTTCAAAGAGAATTCTAGACGTTTTGAATATTTGGCTAAGTATACTACTAGACACTACAACATTCTTCTTAATTGCCTTTTGCACAATTGACAAGCTATATACTTGACTTGCAAGCCAAGCCACTAACTAACCAAGTAACAACCCTGTACTCTCAGCTAATCAATTCACAATAGCTAATTTGGCAGGCATGTCACCCATTATTCCAACATTTATAAAATTTCTACGATCAATTACAAGAACTACACTAGTATCATATCAGATTACAGAGTAAAGGTTTCCAGTTTATTTGGTTAATTAATACCCACAAGGCGTAAGGATTTTGGTTCTGTGTCAGTCTACCAGACCATTTTGGTGTGGAAACTTTTCCCGCCTACACCAGCAATATTGTGATCATACGTCGTCACCCGGATTCCTTGTTTACAATGTTCATCACCATTCAAGGAGTATGGTTATGCAAAACCTTTATAATTGCGTATGGATTATGCTGATGTGGGCAAAAGGTGGATCAAAATTTTGTTAGGGTTTTCTAGTAGCAACCAAAAATTAATTTTGTTAGGGTTCTGTTCTTTATAAGAGTCGCCTTTAATTTTTGCATTTCTTAATAATTAATGAGAACTAGTTGAGTGTAAAAAGAAGTTTAGATAATTGAGATGGGTTTTCACAAGCAAGGGTGGCTTTTAGGAACTAATGTTGGATACAAAGATATAATAAATACATAAATCAAATAGAATGTGAATCACCTTATTGCTAGCCCATTGTAAGTGAAATGTCTTATGTTCAATTCTCGTTAAAGACAAATTTAAACCACATTATTACTAGCTCACTGTGAGGTTTAGCCCACTCCCTAACCTCTTAGTGTAGATAAATATTGTTTATTAAAAAAAAAAATCAAATAGAATGTGACTGTAGAGATACAAAACATAGGTTCGAATAAAATTATGATATATTTACATTGAGGGGGTTAGGGAATAAATTGGTTGCGACTTGCCAATCTCGAGATTCAAATATAAGACATCTCACTTACAAATGAAGAGAAATACCACTAGACTGAAATACTAAGAACTAGTTTGATATTGTTGTGCTTTAAAAAATAAAATTGTTTCTATAGTGTTTCGAGAATAAACAATTATAAAATAAAGTTGTAAAATGTTTGATAAACTTTTTTATTTCTTTTTAAAGTGCTTATAACAAAAAAAAAAAAAAAAGTGTATGAGTGTTTAATAAAGTTTTATATAAAATTAATGTGGATATGTTAAATGACTAAAGCGATATGGTATTGAATGTGATACAATAATTGCCAAAGAGAATAATACAGGGGTAAAATTTTTAATTTTATAAAGTATGCGGAGGTATCCTTATTGTTTGAAAATTTCATTAAATGGGCACTATTCACTATTCTTTGAAAAAGAAAAAAAAAAACTTTTTTAGAAGCATAGTAGACTTTGCTTCTACTCTTCTACTGTCATTGACAACAGTTTTTAAAAAAATATTTTTTTTTGTTTTACCAAACACATTTGTTGTGTTGCTCCAAATTTTTAATCAGTTTTTTTTAAAAGCACTATAATCTCAAACCAACTCTAAGTGGCTAGACAAACACAATGTTAATCCACACCTTCTTATTTTGCATTTTATCATTTATTTGTGCCATTTGTTTTATGACAGCCTTTTAGTGTAAGATTTTCATTTAATTTTAATCTTGAACAAAAGCTTTAATTTTATTTTATTTTTTACAATTTTTTTGTGGCTTTTCGACCTTTGCCCTCAAGACCACGATTTGAAATTCCGGCCCCCTTCACTAAGATTGTTTGCATATAATAATAACTAGCACGCGTGAGAGTATTTTTTCCTAGTCATGAGCACTACGAGCAACTTACAAGTTTTTAGTAACTTGGATTATACGCAACTTATAAATTTATCTTTTATTTTCGGTATTTTTATTTACCAAGATACATTTGTTAGACAAAGTTAGAAATACCAATCAAATCTGCTTTATTACATTGTGATCAAGTAGAGAGAGAGTTTCCTCACAAACAAAAACCCTCATCAGAGGAACCAAAGCTAACACACCACCATAAACTAAGGGTTATCATTTGGAACATACAGAATTTTCTGCATTCCTCTGTCCCTTGACCCCTCTCTATCTTCATATGTCGCTTTTAACATCCTCAGGTTCCATAACCTTTAAATTGTCAAAGTCGTAACATAACTAGCTTGTATCTTGAGCGGTCGAAAGTACTTTAAGCCTTGCACTCGTCTCTTTCAGTCGGCAAACAATCCATTGCCTTGAGCGGTCTAAATCCCTTGGACTAATTCATGCGCTCGTTACATATCACTGAGATAGTGTTTGATCTACTAAATCTCTTGCGCTAATTCATGGGTCTAGTACCTTGATCTTTCAACACTTGTGGCTTTTCACTTAAGGCCCATCTCGAAGGATTTACAACTATTTATTGTTTCAATAAGTTCAAAAGGACTCTGCGTTAAAAAGTCATCACGTTAATACCTCACATGAAAGCCTAATCACTGGAATAAATCCATTAATCAAACGTCAACGAGGTAGTTCAATTTAATTATATTCATGTGGGCTTAGCCTAAAATTGCCCCTCCTCCTTAAGTTAAAATACGTACAATATCGTGTGTTTAAAAGAAGAAAAGTGATTGTCACATTCGGCTTTAATCCTCTTGCAATAATCCTCAGTTTTATTTTGTTCGTTGATTCTGCTATGGTTGACTTAATCCTGAAGAAAAGAAAAAAAATGTAGGGTAAAATAAATTGACCAAGGACAATTAAATACTTTTATACGCAGGAAAGAAAAAGTTGAAACCGAGTACCTAATCAAACAAATTTGGGTTCAGATTTTGTGCAGATTAAAATCTTAACAGTATAATTAATCTTCGCCCAATCATAATTCGTCGTACAGGTCAAACCTGCAAGGATATCAAAACTAGTGATCCAAGTGATAATCCAAGTGAAAAGAATACACTGGTTAAGATTGTACCATGCGTCATGTCACACCTCAGACCTGAGATTGGTGGAATAAATGACCCCCTGCCTGGTGCGCGAATAAAAATGCAAATAATAAGAAAAGAAATTAATCATCTCTTATATTTACATCAGAACGTTACACAACAATACAATCACACTCTAACTTACATTAATTACAAGAGTCCTTTACACTTCCCATGAAAGTCAACAACTTTTTCAGATCTCTAATTCAACACCTATCAAATAATTCATAAGGGGTGAGCTACTACCTCAGTAGGAACAATAACCACAATGCATTTAGCAAAACGGAAACAATGATGATGCATGAATGTAATGTTGCCTCTTCATCCTACTTTTGTTAACCCAGTTAACAAATAACCCATTTCTTTTCATTAGTCATCTTGTTAAACTATTAGTCTCAAATCCGAAACCCGAATAGATTGTTTTATCGGACTCTAACTGAAGGTCTTAACTGAAAGGGTTTCACTTTCGTGCACTTTGGGCTAAACAAATATCTTGATGCCCTGAGAGCGGACTCAACTACTTTTAGTTCCATCTTTCCATAAATCACATACTTTCCCAATTGGGGACTCCAACAAATGAGCATGTAATGATCATAGTTATTCAATTCCACTAATACTTTCCCAATAAATCCACAATGCATGATACAGTTATTATTCATGATAATTATGAAATAATATCCAAATGATATTTCAAACGAATAATATT